GTGTTTGTCCTGAATCAAAGGGCATTCACTGCAAACCCTAACTGAATATTATGGGGAGTTTGTTGAGATTTTTAAGGAATTGGACCATCGTGATAAAGTAGTCATGAAGGACCCTGATGATATGAAGTCATATCAGAAGTCCATTGAAAGATTGAGGGTGCATATATTTCTTGCTCAACTGGGTGATGATTTTGAGCAAGTTTGTGGAGAAATCTTATGCAAAGAAGTGACACCTGATGTAGAAGAATGCTATGCATTGATCCAAAGAGAGACAGTTCGGCGAACAACTTTGAAAACAAAAAATATGATTTCTGATTCCACAGCTATGATGACAAGGAAACAAACGAAACAATAAAAAAGTTTTGAAAGAGGTAACTACAAGTGTACTCAGTGTAATAAGAATGGACACATCAAGGAACGATGTTATAAAACCATAGAATACCTTGAGTGGTGTGGGATCATAGTCGAGCATCGAAGAAGAATTCAAAAAGAAATTCAATTGCTGCTGTAACTGTCATTGACAAAAGGGACGACAAAGGCATGATGCTTGCTACAACCGCAGATAGTGATGATTCCAATGGCAAGGCCTTAATAAGCACATCTACTGTTCTGAATAATGCATGAATAATTGACTCTGCATGTTCTGATCATGTGGCTTTTGATGTTAGATAGATTAAAAATCTTAAACCTTCCTCACAAAAAAATATTTCCACAACCAATGGTAATAAATCCACTATCATTGGAGAAGAAATTGTCTCTATTTCAAACAATTTGAACCTTGATATTATCCTTGTTGTTCCTTCTCTTAAATATAACCTATTGTCAGTTTCGCAAATAACCAAAGCTCTTCTTTGGGTTGTAATTTTTGGGCCTAACTCTAGTGTTTTTAAGGACATTCAAACGAGGAAGATAATTGGTTGTGGTATTAGGCGAGAAAGACTGTATTACCTGCACCTGACAGAAAAAGATTCAAAGAGAATTGGTCAAGTGCTAGCAACAAAAGGGTCTCAAGAAGTGAGAAAAGGTGAGAATATTTGGTTATGGCATAAGCGTCTAGGACATGCATCTTTTGGTTACATAAAGAAATTATTTCCAGATGTGTTTGACCAAGTAGACACTTCAACTTTGTATTATAATGTTTGTGAGCTTGCAAAAAGTCACAGAACATATTTTCCTTTAATTTCAAATAAAAATTCTCTTCCTTTTATGATCATTCACTCTTATGTATGGGGTCCATCTAAGGTTACAACGTTGAATGGCAACGTAGTTTGTAATGTTTATTGATGATTGTACTCGGATGACTTGGTTATGTTTGATGAAATCTAAAAGTGAAGTTGGAGGACTATTTCAGAAATTATGCAAAATGATTGAGACCCAGTACAAAGCACAAGTTCAGGTACTGCGCAATGACAACGGAGGACAATATATGCAATCAGAACTTAACATTTTTTAGTAGCCAAAAGAATTGTTCATCAGAGATCTTGTCCAAATACTCCACAACAGAATGGAGTGGCAGAACGAAAGAGCCGTCATCTATTGGAGGGGTCCGAGCTGCACTGATTGGAGCTCACATGCCAGCAATATATTGGGGAGAAGCTTTCACACATGCAGTATACGCTATCAACCGAACACCATCCAAATCTCTTGAGTATTAAACACTTATTCAATCACTTACAAATGCAGTAGTAAGTCCTACAATTGTTGAACGATCACATAGAGTTTTTGGTTGTGTTGCTTATGTTCACTTACACAAGCATCAGAGAAGTAAGTTGTCTCCTAGAGCTGAAAGGTGTGTGTTCCTTGGCTATGCGGATCACCAAAAAGGATACCGGTGCTACAATCCACAAACCAAACAAATGTTTACTACTATAGATGTAGTTTTTCATGAGACCGTGATATATTTTTCCCCTGAGTCTGAAATTCAGGGGAAAAATTATGATGTTCAGACTTTTGTTTCTCAAGAAATTGATACTGAGATCATATTAGAGAAAAGAATTTACAAAATTGTATCAGGAGATGATGAAAGTATGCAACAATGTAATGATCAACAACCACATAATGAGGAAAAATTTGAGCATATCGAGATCGAAAGTTTGCCTATTGATGCTAATGATATACCACACCAATCATCCCCTCAAGAACCTAATATAGGAAAAAAAAATTTGTCAAATCGTGTCACAAGAGGTATCCCTAAGCCTACTTATGATCCTGATCTCACCAGTAAGATAAGATACTCTATGAGTAATTATATTTGTAACCAGAATTTGTCTAACTCAAATATCGCATTTATATGTCAATTATTTACTGTATCTATTCCTAACAATGTGCAGGAAGCTTTAGCTGACTCCAGGTGGAAGAATGCTATGAATGAGGAGATGAGATCCTTGCAAAAAAAATAAAACATGGGAATTGGTAGATTGTCCAGTTGGAAAGAAACCAGTAGGATGTCGATGGGTGTATATTGTGAAATTTAATGCAGATGACAATTGAGAGATTCAAAGCTAGATTAGTGTCAAAGGGGTATACACAAGCATATGGAATCAATTACACTGAAACGTTTGCTCTCGTAGTCAAAATTAGCACAATTCGAGTATTGTTATCTCTAACTCTAAACCTTGATTGATCCTTACAACAATTTGACATAAAAAATGTCTTCTTACACAGAGAATTGTCTGTAGAAGTTTATATGAAGTTACCAAAAGGATGTGAAATCCTGAATACATATAGCAAGAAGGTATGCAAGTTGAAGAAGTCATTGTATGGACTAAAGCATTCGCCACCAGCATGGTTTGGTAGATTTACCAAGTCAATGCTTGGTTTTGGATATCAACAAAACAACCAAGATCATATCTTGTTTCTAAAGAAAAAGGAAGGAAATATTACAATTCTTATTGTCTATGTTGATGATATGATAGTTACGGGAGACGATCTAGAGGAACGCATGGCATTGAAAAAGTACTTGGCAAAGGAATTCGAGATGAAGGATCTTGGTCTTTTGAAGTACTTTCTTGAAATTGAGGTCTCAAGATCAAAGTTAGGTATTTATCTCTCACAGCGAAAATATGCATTGGATTTATTGAAAGAAACTTGAATGACAACATGCAAACCAACAAATTCTCCAATTGAAGGGGGATTGAAGTTGTGCATTGAAGAAGATCAAACTTCAACTAACAAGGGAAAATATCAGAGACTTGTAGGGAGATTGATGTATCTCTCACACACCAGGCCAGATTTAGCCTATGATCTTAGTGTGGTTAGTCAGTTCAGGCACAATCTAGGTGAAAAACACATAGATGTTATTATACGAATTTTAACATACATAAAAGCCGCTCCTGAAAAAGGAGTTGTGTTCAAAAAAAACTCCAACTACAAGGATGTGATGGTTTATACTGATGCAGATTCGACAGGTGCTCTTGATGATAAAAGATCAACCTCTAGATACTTTACATTTGTAGGAGGTAATCTTGTCACATGGAAAAGTAAGAAGCAGAAAGTTGTAACTAGATCCAGTGCAGAAGCTGAACTTAGAGGAATGATTTTTGGGCTTTGTGAAGGTTTGTGGATCAGACTACTTCTCCAGGATTTAGGGTATGCAAATACACGTCCTATTCAGTTGTTTTGTGATAATAAAGTTACGCGCGACATTACTCACAACCCTGTCCAACATGATCGGATGAAGCATGTGAAGGTTGATAGATTTTTCATCAAGGAAAAACTTGATTAAAATATTTTAGAATTGTCAAATATTCGATTTAAAGATCAGCTAGCAGACATTCTTACCAAAGCTGTGACAAGTCATATTTTTAGGAGATTATTGGACAAGTTGAGAATATATGACATCCATGTACCAAATTAAGGGGGAGTGTTGAAATGAAAATATTTGATTAGCTAAATTATAGGTTTGTATAGCTGTACAAAATAGTGCATAATCAGAACTTACTTTATTTAGTCCTAATTTATAGGAGTAAAATACTATAAGAACATGATATTTATATCCAAAATAAATATGAATAAAAATTATAGAATGAATTCTATGTTTTTCAATTCACATAAGATCAGTGTCCTCAATGAGACAACAGTGAGGAAAACCAAAAAAAAAAAAAATAAAAGACAAAGGTCCACAAGCCAAAGTTATAACTAATTCTCTAGTTAAAAGTGGAAAAAAGAAAGAAAGATCAATCAACCAGATTGCAGCATTATTAAAATGACAAAGCACACAAAAGAACCTTTAATGGATACTTAAAAAATGGAATATTTAAAACACAAATCTACAAGGAGTTGGCACATCCATGCTCATAAAAATTGCTGGACAGCTTACCACGTTGACCAATTGAAACCATTTGACATCACGGCAATTAAACCACTTAAAATGAACTGTACTATATTTACTTGTCCTAGGAAACGACATGTTAATGCACAATGACAACAGGCACACATGTATAAAACAAACTTTTACATGAATCAAACCAATCCCCCAACCCACATAAGCCCGTAGGATGTCTATCTTCAGCAGGAAATGAGTGAGGTGAAAACCGACAAAAAGAAATTAAACGACACATGCATGAAACAACAAAATAATTGATCCAGTCATTAGAAGGACAAACGTTTGGTAAAACCTACTGGAGAATCACAACTCTATAAAAAGAAAAACATACAAGAAAGTTGGTACTTATAACAAACATTTGAGGAAACAAATCTTCAAGGTGTTGGCACCATGTAAACTGAAACTAGTGCATGAAAACAATACACACGTGAATAAAACAAACAAATATTTGAATCAGCCATTCCCCCAAACCCCATAGAACATATGATCTGATCTCTGTCCGCAGGAAGAAGATAATGAGATAAAACTGACAAAGAAATTAACAGACACAAGAATAAAACAAAATAATAATTGATTTAGTTGTTAAAATCGACAAATGTTCAGTAAAACCAACCGGAGAATTATATCACTATAATAAGCATGAACATACAACAAAGTTTGTACTTATAATGAACATTTAAAGTAACAAATCTACACGGTGTTGCCACAACGTAAACGGATACACTCTTACCAAAAATGGCTGCGATTCAGGCCAGGCATTTCTGTTGAACCGTTTGACAGCAATTCGCATCTGATTATCAAGTCTCCCTTTATAGACCACATTTGGAGCCTTTTCTCCATGTTCAGAAACTATATTTTCAACGGCAAATCCAGATGTAGCCCTCCTAAGCTGATCAATGGTGAATTCATGAAACCGTGGCAAGTCAATGCCCTCAACAACGTTGTCTTCGTTTACTGAACAAGAAACATAAACACAGAAACAGCAATTAGTCTCAGAGCAGCAAGAACAGAAACTAGGCACATTCAAACACTTACCACCAACAACCTGAGCCTCAGGAGCCGGATGACCATCTTCCTCTGTATCCATGCAGCATGCTGTGTACTTAGAAAAGCCACAACCCATCCCAACCCTGTAACTCAATGGCAAATTACAGTTAGTCAAGACACTCACCAATTTACCCAAAAGCCCCTTTTAGCTTTAAACTATAATATCCTCTCAACCGAACACCACCTTCAACTATATACCATATCAATCACACAATTACGTTAGAACATGTTTGGTAGGCCTTCACTTACCAAAATTGGATTTCTGATTTTCAAAACTCAAAAACCCTTTTAAATTAAGAAGACAAAACCCCCCACAACAAGCAAATTATGTACGGAATTCATCAAGAATTCACAATTGAATATCACCTGGGACCATGCTGAGCTAGATAGGGAGAACCCAATAAGAGTTAACAATAAAAAAACGACAGAAACTACCCAATAAAAAAATTATCAAAGACAAGCATAACAAGAACGAACATCCAGCATATACAGCTAAAAGACCAAACCTTTCTGTCAGCAGCAAATGTGAGCAGTGCTGGGTCAATCCACTTTCAACGGTGCCTCCCTGAATTGCTATCAGAAAGCAATCAAATCAGCCAAAAGATGAGCTCCAAAACATTTATTTGCGTAGAAAAACTAAAAATGTATATTAGAAGAACACGAAATTAAGGCAGCAAGCAATGAAGCAAATTATATTTATTTTTGCAAAATCAGAGATCAGAAAGAAGTATGAGGTGGAATTCAGAAGGGAATTGAAGAAGAAAAAGCGATAAGAAGCATTGACGAAGCACCTCAGCAAGCGCAGGGATTCGAAACAGTCAAAACTATGAAAGGCAGGGAAAGTGAAAGGACTTTGGTCGCTAGTTCTCATCTTTCACACCTTATATATATACACTGTGCTTTAATATTATTTTTATTCACTGTAATAAATACCCTCATTAACAAAAGAATAAAGAAGGTAAGTCAAAAATGAACTTCATCAATCTAAACTTAAGAATCACCAACTACGCTAATCAGGTACTAATTTTTTTGGTAATTAATTAATCTAGCTGTGATGCAAATGGGTTTTGATTTGTTATTTCGTTACTCAACATCAACCTGCATAATCTTCAGGTTTTAGTTTTGTGCTTAAAATAATATCTGTTTTAAGTTTTACTTATATACTTTAATTCTTTATAAGTTCTGATATTTAAATTTGAAAGAATTAAAATAATTTTAAAAAAATATATGTAAGTATTCAACAAAATTTTAAAAACCATATGTACCAAAACCAAAACAAATAAAACCACAAAATATGATATAAAAAAGTTATTAAATTTATAATATTTCATACAATTATTTTTAAATAATTAAAAAGTTCTACGTTTATATCTAGGTTGATGAATTTTATCTTTAAACAAATGTGTAATCGTGAAATGCGGACTAAATCATAAACTTACGATCGATTGCTTAAATTGTTTCTACATTTAGTCATCACCTTTTAGTGCTTTCAACCCTAACAAAAATAAATAAATAAAAGGATTAAATATTTTTTTATCTCATAACATTTAATTTTAATTTCTCCTTATAGTGCTTTTTTTTCTGACATTAAAGTAAACGGTTTACACCATCATTTAGCAAAATAAATATAACACCAAATCATAAAATATATGAATTTTTAATACATTTGAAATTAAGAAACATATATAGACCGGAAAAAAATCAATTATTTTTTTTATAAAATGAAAATGCATGTTGTCTAAATTATAATACACTTTTAATTTCACAACCCAACTACGACAAATAAAAAATCCAACAAATCTCTCGTTTATAATTATAATTATGCGGAGATCGCCGTCAATTTAGGGTTCACATTTAAAATGAAAATTTGAATTATTATCAGACTTTGTCTACCAGGAAAAAAAATCATATTCATATAATGGTAATAAATTATTTTTTTATAATCAATAAAGAAAGTTATATATCTATGTTATAAAGGATTAAGTCACTGCTTTTACGTAAAATTAATTAAATAGTTAAAAATTGATATCACATTCTCAATATTTTTAATCATATTTAAGTACTCTTATTAAAATAGTGTTTTAAACATGAAGATCATATAATTTTATTTCATATTGTTTAAATATTTTTTATTTTAGATTTGATAAAATTATAATCATATATTATATATTATTTTGTGTACATTTTTATTGTTCTCGTACATTCCGTAATTTCATTTACTTAACTTAATTAAGGTAATTTATATATTATTATCTTTCACTTAGTGAAAGATCTTTTAAAATAATGTCACGGTAAATTTTGTTTTTTTTTTAATATTAAAGTATTGTCTATTTTGATAATTTAATTTATTACAATTTTATCTTAAAAATATGATTTGATTATTAAAAAATATATACATAAATTTATAAATTATTCTTACAATTATCCGAGGATATTATATAATATTTTTGTTCTCTTATTTATTAAAATCAGAATTTCATGCTAATTTATAATTATTTATCTACACTATTTAGATTAAAATATGATTAAGTAATACGAATAAGTTTTTCATTATATAATGATAATTAATAAGAATAATTTTTATCATCTCATATCATTTTGAGCATTACTATTAACCATGCATCAAGAACAATTTTTTAAAAAATTGATTTTATTTTTTTCAATCTTGAAAATACATTTTTTGTTCTTAATAATTCATCACTCACTGTCTATCAAAATAAATGGTGTAGTTAACCAGTTTCCAATTGCAATTAAACAAATATAGACTCTCGTGGAAATATAAAAAATCTGAATGATTTTCTTCTTTACTCTTTGTTTGTTGGGATATTTTCAATAACAAGTTTCCCACAAACAATCTTAATTTAACTCCTTTATACTTATGAAACAAATAAATTTTAATATTTTGACTTATTTTCAGATAAAAAAAAAACTGGATGTAAAATAATGACCATATTAAAAAAAAGACTCAATAATAAAAAAGTAATTTTAAAATACATTAAACTCAACGTGTGAAAATTTAAAAAAGGTAACGCATAACAAGAGTTTTTAGTTTATTAAGATAAAATGAAATTTATTTATGTTAAATCTATATAAATTTTTTTATTGATAGAATAGTAAACTGGGTGATGTATATTGGAGTTAAATTAAATGATTGATTATAAATTAAATTTATTCGAGCGAATGGTTGTACGCATGAGGGGTTGGGTTGGGTTCCACGACGCCGTTTCCACCGACATCGGTTTTTTTTTAATAAAACCGTTCACAACTCAGACCCCATTGCACTGTGTCCTACAAAACCAGTGTATACAAAAAGTTTCACGTTATCTAAATTTATTTTCGCATGATAAATTACGTTTTTGTTTTTTTGTATCTTTCAGATTAGTTAATAATGCATTGATGTTTGAAGTGTTATAATGAGAAACAAACATGCTAAAGAGTGTTATAATAAAAACTATACTTTAAATAAAAACTACATAAAAACACAAATGTATCTACTGTTCGTGCAATTTAACAGGCAGGAACATGCAGAAAAGTAAAATTAGAAGACAGGAACCATAATTTGCTTTACTTAGAACAAAGTGTGAGACAATTTAGATTACGTATCTATGTTGTAACTAAAAAATTTAATTTATACTGCCAGTTATAAAGACTTTATGCTCCGTCCCTCTGAAGCAAAGGCTCAGTACCCTAAGAAGCAATAGCAGTCAGAGAAAGGACAGCAGGTTTTGGTACTTTGGTAGGCCACACTTTCCCTCCAATGCCCACATTTTCTGCCGTCCCTGTTAGTCTTCTTTTGTTGTCATGCTTCCCTTTTTATGATCTCTCTACCTTCTTCGTCATGGTCACACACTTCCACCACTACACAACACAATTGAGTAACAAAGGCTCTTTTTTTACCCCTTTGTTTGTACACCCATCTGTTTCACCCTCACTTCTCCACTTCACTAACCCCACTTTCTTTCAAAAGCTCACATTTTTATTCATCTTTCCCCTTCTCAACTCCCAACTCTCACACCCCTTTGTCCTTCCTCCCCCCCCTTTTTTTTTCCCCTGCATTCTTCTGTCAAAACCCTAGATATCAAATCTGGGGTTTGGTTTTCTTGGTGAGTTTAGACAGGTCCTAGGAACTGCCAGCTTGCAAGTCAGAGTTCTCTCTCTGGAATTCAAGTTTTTGATGTTCCTACATTACTTTTTAGACACAACACAACACAATATTCCTTATAAGCTTTCTCATGGAATTTCTGTGTTGACACTGTCTTGAGTTCCCTTTCACGGGGTAGTTGTATTTGTTGTTTCTTATTTTGTTCCAGCACACTCGTTGCCAAGTCTTTGAGTCTGTTTACCAATATTTTTTGAACTGCCGTGTTTTAGATCCTTATATATTTTTTTGGGGTTAAAATCCATTTTTTTCATCATTTTTTGTGCCTTTTCACTTTAGCATTTTCACCTGTTTGTTATTCTAAGAAGTTAGGTTTAGGAGAGTTTGGGCATAGTTGCATAGGTAGCATAAAATTTGTGTACTTAACAAGTAAATGCATGGATGGGAGAGAGGTTATGGCATTTTCTGGTGGCTCAGCTTCATATTACATGCATAGAGGAGGGGTTGGAGGGTCTGGCTCCGGACCACTTAGTGGGGGAGAGGGGTTCCAAGCAGCCCCTGGGTTTAGACCTTTGTCAAACACTGACATTCATGCTGAGTCAAATGCAAGGATTCAAGGGGGTGGTTCTGTAGGGTCTAGCTCCACATTTTCCGTGGAGCCTCCTCATCGTGCCAATTTTAACCATGGCATTGGCATTGGCATTGGGGCACCTTCAAGTGAGCCTGTGAAGAAGAAAAGAGGGAGACCTCGAAAATATGGTCCTGATGGAACAGTTTCTTTGAAATTGTCTCCAATGTCTGCCCCCCCTAACTCCACCCAGGGTGAAATTGCAACCTCCCTTTCTCAGAAAAAGGGAAGAGGGCGCCCACCAGGATCTGGAAGGAAGCAACAGTTAGCTGCATTAGGTGTGTTTGTGTGAAGATCTTCATTTCCTGTTTATTGTAATTGCAATATGATTAATGATTTCTAGATGAACATGTAATGTATCCTGGATGGAAATTTACTCTCAAGTATTTGACTATTTGTACTTTGATTTTGATGCAGCACTAGATGCCATAAATTTCTTATAAATGTTATGTTAGCGTTTGTGCTGTTAAATTTCATTTATTAAATTATTATTAGCAATTTAACCGAATCAGGTGGATGATGGATGTGCTTTCATATTGCTGAAATATATTTTAAAATGCATTATTTTGTGTTGCTATAATTTTCTATTTCTAGATGGAATATACTGGTAATTTCTGTTTCCTTCTTTCTCTAGTTATTTGATATTATTTTTAATGTATTTTATCAGATTACTGACATTCTATATTTCATGTGATATGATCACCCTTTCTAAAATTCCTCTGTCATAATTTCTGGAAGTAAATGTAATTGTGGTGAAGAGATTTCTACTTCCTGTATGAATGAATAGGTAGCCATCATCAATAGATGTTAGGGTTTACTCTTTTTCCTTCTGATTATGTAATTTTTGTTTGGCAGTAACAAGCTATATTTTTTATGTTTAGTTATCTATTTATTTCCTTGGAAGTGGCTGGACCTTTAACATAATTATTTATTGTATCACAGGTGAATGGATGAATAGTTCAGCAGGGTTAGCCTTTTCACCTCATGTTGTCACTATTGGAGTTGGGGAGGTATTAACAGTCTCTGTGTTCATAAGCTATATAAATATTATTTATTTTGTACTTTTTTTGAATCTTAATGTAAATGATGTTGTTGAAGGCATTTGTATCACCTTAAAGGGGATGAATTTGTCCAAAATGCTTGTTCTTATGGGCAAATTCTATTTTGATTCTAGAAGCTTTGTCGTACTTGATATCAAAATAGTAAAATAAACTTGCTAAATGTACAAAAATTATTTTTTGACTTCAAGACCAAGGGTTCTTTGCACATTAATTTAGAAGTTCCCTGGACAATCAATTTTCATTATTGCAGGACATCGTGGCCAAGTTATTGTTATTATCGCAGCAGAGACCAAGGGCTCTTTGCATCTTGTCAGGTACTGGGACAGTTTCTTCAGTCACTCTTCGACAGCCCGCATCTACCAATGCCAGTTTAACTTTTGAGGTTAACACAATAATTAGTACCACTTAAAGTGCGTATTGCCTAAGGTTGTTCTTGATGTGTTAAGTAAGAAACTAATTTTATTTTGTAAATTTTACAGGGAAGATTCCAAATACTATGCTTGTCTGGTTCTTACTTAGTTGCTGAAGATGGTGGACCCTCCAATAGAACTGGTGGTATTAGTGTTTCACTTTCTAGTCCTGATGGTCATGTTATTGGTGGTGGTGTTGCTGTGCTTATTGCCGGAAGCCCAGTGCAGGTATCTTGATTCTTCTAGAGTCTGCAGTATCTTTGTAACATGGTTATCAGTATCAAGTTATTAGTGCAATACAATGCTTGGCAATATGAATTGTTCGTTGTATCAATGTTGTGTCTGAATTGCACATGAATAGTGTAAATTGCAAATTGATCGGGTCTTGCTCATGAATTTTGTGACTCTTCTAATACCTTGCTTTCAAAAGGTCATCACATTACATCTGGTTGTCATGGCTGCAGCAGCAATTTTGGCACCCTGAATTGCGAAAAAATGGTGTGTACATGCGCGCCGCATGCCTGCATTGTTTTTTTTTTAATGTTAAATTGTTCTGAATTATGCTTATTATTGATAATGAATCTTACAATTCACAATTTCTTTTGATTCTGATTCAGAAATGGACCTTATTCATATTTTGTATCCTGATTCAACTACCATGCTTGCATGTTACGGTCATTCTTTAATTTTCATGCTTAATTAGTTGTTTACTTTGTTAAGCTGGAACTGTATGATAAAACAAGAAATTGCTTTGAACATGTTGGGGCAACAGAGATTAAAGGTAGCCAGATAGGGATTCTCAATAATATGGTTTTGATGTAGCTTAGGCCTGTTCATACTTCTCTAGTTTCCTGTTCAGCTACGGGAGTGGGTAGGGACAAGTGTTGTTCTATATGCTTCTCATTTTCTGTATCATAGGATTCTTCACATTCAAAAGAATCAAAATCAAAGCAACATCATAAATTCATAACCCTAAACCATAAGATAGATTAATGTAGGCTTTGCTTGCTGCAGGTGGTATTGTGCAGTTTTGTGTATGGTGGTGCCAAGGCGAAGCCTAAACAAGGGCTTACAATCACAGATGAAAGTTCTGAGCAATCTCAGCATAATGACAAGTTAGCTTCTCCAGCCAGTGCTCCAACTGGTCAAAATCAAAATTACCTCCCTTCAGCACACATTTGGTCTGGATCACGACCAGCGGAGCTGAAAAACACACAAACTCATACTGGCATCGACTTGACTCGTGGGTGAGAATCTATTTTGGAAGGAATATTGCAATTTTTGTATATAACTGTTGTTGTACATGAGCTTTAGTTTGTGAGTATTGTGACTGTGCGAGTTATCTCCTTTTGTTGGGTGACACAGGTTTGCACCAACACATGCTGAAACAAATGATTTATTCGGGGATTAAGTGATGATTCTTGACATATCCAAAAAAATGTCCGTTGAATGCAAACTTATGCTTTTCAATGTATGAATTAGTGTGAATTGAGAAGGTTTTAAATAAAAGACCTTTTGAGCTTTTTCAACTTTAATACAAAGCTAAATTTATTGGGATGCATGTTGTATGGAGTTGATTTTGATGAGTTCTAGGATCCATCGTAGTGGACCATGGATAATGCTCCATCGATTTTAATTACCTCGGGGACTGAGCTCTATTATTTACCTTGGCATTGGCATTTAATATCTCTGCATATTATGCAGCCTAATAAATTGAACAAAATGTAATTGTGGCTGAGGTGGACCCGATTCTTCCCTGGTGTTTTATGGTAAAGTAGAAATCGGGGAAAACAATGACGCTTAGTTGTGATGAGACATTTTCTTTACGTTCTCGTCTACGCATTTTGCTCAAACAAACCGAGGTTGAATATACTTTGGCAAATTTGACATGCTTATATTTTTCATACAAAAATTTTCCTTGTAAATTTGACGTGCATCTAATAAGCATTGAAACCAGCATCTTTCTACTTCTCACTTGTAGACTACTACAAATTGATTTTATAGAAAGTAAAACGACATTTGTGTAGGAAATATCATGCAATCAGCATTATTACCTTTAATATCCATGTAGACTTTAATAAGTAGAGCTATTGATGGTGAATTTGAGCTTCTCTATGAATGATTTGAAGTTAGAAAATATAGTTATATAAATTTTTCTTCACGGCACCTTTAAACAACTTTTTCATATTCATCATTGGCATATGATATGTTTTAGACTTATGCTTTCATAATCCCAAGAAAACTAGGTATAACCAAACCAGGCATCAACGCAAATCTTGTTCATTTAGTCAAAAACCTTTATGCTCAAAATCAGACTTCACAAAGGGAACATAACAAAGTCAAGACAAGAGGATATGCTTTGACATTCATGACAGCCTCTCTTTCCAACTGAATCCATTCATTCATACAATACCAACTAACTTACGGATATCTCGCTGCAAAACAAAAAAAAAATGGCATAAGAATGGAGGCAGCATAAACCATCTGATTTCTAGAATATTTTTAACATACAGACAATGCCATTTACCTCAAGGCTAAGAGGAGATGTGGTGGGATAATAGCGATCTGTCACTTGCCCGTCCTTGTCAACCAGAAACTTGGCAAAGTTCCACTGAATATCATCCCCAAAAATCCCCCACTTAGCTGACTTTAAGAATTTGTACAAAGGAGCAGAATCGTCTCCGTTCACTTCAATCTAGCACAATGATAGAGAGACCGGCATATACTAGATGTCAAATTTCTTCAAAAGATTAGAAGTTCATAATTGTAGAGTCTAAAGCGGATGAAAATGTTGATTTGGTCTTCTTTTTCAAACACGATGAGGTTTAGTATTGCCCATAGATGGACCAAGCAAAATGGATCTTATGCCACAACCAACACAATTCTCACTCAGGGCAGTGACAAGCAATAAGCAAATTACAGACGCACAAAATCCCTACTATTTAATCTTCAGCGTAAGTATAACAGAAACGTTGAAATTTGAAATAGAACATCTGAATAAAATTAATTGGCGCTTGAGAAGACCCAAAATTTGATGATTAAATGTCAGATTTCAAAGCTTGTATGTTCATCTATCTACCTTATTAAAGATGGGAAATTCAGATTTAAAGCGAGTGCAGACAAACTCCTTAATTTGATCATTGCGGCCGGGTTCTTCCTCCCCAAATTGATTACATGGAAATGCCAGAATCTCCAGCCCTGATGAAGCCATCAAACTCAGCCATATCCATTAATTAAAATCATATTTGGAAAATAATAAAAAGGAACACTGTGCTTTATAGAGTAAAGCATGACATCACAGAATCAATCTCCAAAACAAGGTTCTTATAGAAAGTAGTAACACAAACCAAATCATAAATTCAACCTGAATTTTGCAGATTGAAATGACATACATAAAACTATGGAAGCGTTGTTTAACTACAAACCTTTGTCTTTGTACTCCTTATATAGTTGATTCAACTCCACATAATTTGAGTTGGTCATGCCACTACCTCAACAATACCAAACAAACAAGAACTATAAATATTCTCACTTGATGACAATTTCAGAAAGAATAATCTTCATATGAGGGAAAAAATTTCCCGACTATGGAAAGTTATACTATTGTATAAAGAACAAAAAAGAAAGTAATATTCAATACCAGAGAGGCATAGCCTACCATTTAGAAGCAACATTAACAATGAGCAAGACTTTGCCCTTATAAGTGGCAAGATCCACATCATCGCCTTTAGCATCCTGCAAGTGAACGCAGAAACTCGCAAAACAATATTTAATCACAAGATTATACTTATTTCTCGTAATCATACATGTATACATATACATATTCGAGGACAAAAAATGATGTTTTTATGATTTTGAAATTAAATTAAGTGATGTTCGAGATTTCAAGCCTAATTTTGTAACAGTATGGTCATCTTAAATGAATAGTAACAAGGTTGTGATAGAATAAAAAGTTGCGATTTTAGGTAACAGTGTGAGTTTATAAAAAAATCAAAACAGTGATAGATATCGGTGGAGTGAAAGAGCAGAAACCTTGACAGTAAAGTCGTAAACAGACTTTGGATGGTTGGTGGGTTGAGTGGTCATGGTGTTTTCAAGGCCGAAAATAGAAGGCAACGGCTCCGGTTAGAGACAGAAGAAGCTGAGTTGAGAACCCAACCAATCAGCACAGTCCGCGAGGTTGGAAAGTTGAGGGGAATAGCTTTCTACTTCACTTTTTAGGTCAAGGCCGGGTAGAGGTTTTTGTGAAGCGTCTCAAACTATCTCAAAGTCTTTGCTTCCATGAAAAGGGTTGTTTGGGATAAGGCCGGAGTTGCAGTGGCAAAGCTGATCAAGAAGCATGGGGAATTGAAAAAGAGAAGGGTAAAGAGAGAAAAGACAAAAAAAGAGAAAAATAAAAAATAAAGAAGTATTTATCGTTAATTTAAAAAGTAGTAAATCTATGGGAATCTGAATAAAATATATGAATTCATATAACTTTGACAAGCTAATGCCATGAACAAACTACCGTTAACAGAATGCAAAGGCTTTATCTTGTCAAAAATGGGAACCTGAGCTTTGAAGCTAGTACAGACAAACTCTTGTATCTGTTCATTAGGTCCAGGGTCCTTTGCCCCAAACTGATTGAATGGGAATGACAGAATTTTCAGACCTTATAATAAAAAGAAGATCAAGCGTTTTAGAACGACAATGGGATATCATATTAAGTTTGTTTAAGTGCAAAAAATAAATATGAAGTCTCACATTAAAAAGAAATGAGCAATCAATAAAAGAATGGTAAACATATTAATATCTTACGTGCAGAGTCAAATTTATTTTTGATGTTTATTGGTACTCTCCTTGATAAAGGTTCCTTATCAAGAATGTAATAATTAGGATCCATAACAAGTAAACTGTACTGTGTCTTTGTTGTATGAGTTTCAGAACTCAATATAATATAAATTGAACAAAATATATATAGATTATTGAAAAAAATTACATCAAAAGAAATTATTTATCCGTTTCTCACAAATATGAAAAAGACAGAAAAGTCAAGAACATAGGAACAGGTGAAAAGCAAACCTTTCTGTTTGTATTTCTAATACAACTGGCTGTGCTCTGTCTAGTTTTGCATAAGAAAAGAAACTGCATCATGTTAAAGCTGGCTTTTTGTTTATGTTTGCGTAATTTATAGAGGATATGATCAATAATGCTATTGTTTAAATATAATTTGTTACTTTGACTTGTTCCTTTGCTAGTCTTAATTGTTCTTATGAATTATTCGATCTGTTTTTTTTTTTCTCTGATTCAGTTCATGTATAACTATTTAAAAAGTCAACTCTTTTATTTCAATAAGATAGCTTCTTCTTTCAGCTTTTACGTTATATCTAATATACTAGTTCTTAACAAATAAATGGGCAAAATCAAAACAGCTTTGTTTCCAATATCTGATGATCACTTTTCTAATTGAGCAAATGGAAAACTTTCTTGGGTGGGTGGTGGAAAATGAGATTTTCAAATAACAGAATAAAACCGAGAATTTAATTAAACCAAGATCATGGATATATCAATTTAATTTGAATATATTATTCAGAACCTGAAGAGAAGTGAAAAAGATTATTCAGAACTTGAATAATTGTTTAATTCATGTTTGGTGTATCAATTCAATCATGGGATATATCAATTTAAATACTAATTATTAAATATCATTGGTATCAATATCTCTTACTTGGTGTCAATATCTCTTATATTTTCAGATTATTAACTATCTTAACGATTTACTAATCTAAAAGATAAATTAGACCAGTTAGGTAAAAAGGCCGTAGGATGTTTGTAAGCAAGGAAGTTAAAATCCATAGCAGTATTTCCGTCACAATCAACAAGAGAAGAGCTTTCTGCTTGATAGCATTCACGTACATCACGAGACAGAAATATACAAAATCACAATTTTGCGCCAAAGTAGAGAAGGGCATGAAGCAAACCAATGAAATAGGAAGATTATGTTTACTTAACTCAAAGTAAAAGTACGCAATGTCATGATTATGAACATAATATCAGCTACAAGAGCAACTGTTTCAGTACATGTAAGACAGACAGGAAAGTTAATAACATCTGCAATACATTTCTTATTTGTAATAATGTTCTAATCACTATTCATTTATTGACAGATGCAGTCATTCATAGCTTCATGCATCCAACAACTTCAGCAAGTCCTTCTGCAGATATCAGCAAAAGAAGCACTCTTAGTGTAAAAATATCAAATACGTATAGGAAAAATTATTGGTGCCATCATACTAATTGTCTTACCTCAATGCTCAGAGGAGAAGTTGTGGGTGCATAGCGATCAACAACCTTCCCCTCCTTATCAATAAGGAACTTGGAGAAGTTCCATTTGATATTATCCCCGAAGAGTCCACCTTTGCTTGATTTTAGATACTTGTAGAGTGGATCAGCCTTGTCACCATTCACATCAACCTATATTAAATGCAAAAGAACAATGATCTCAGTATACGTACAGTAAAAACTTAGACACAGGAAAGTGAAATTAATATATTCTAACTCAACCATGATCAAACAGGAATTAGTTCCCCTAGTCTGAAATTTATCTTATTTGCTTAGTATTTGGAGGTGGGGTTTCAAAACCACATCAAGGAAGAACACGAAGTCTTGGAATCAATCTATTCATCTCTACTTTAATGGATCATATGTTACTGCATTACACAATCAGGACTAAAACTGTGGAAATCATGAAAGGAGTCCTAATTGATTACAGAACTCAATCATCTGACTTTCAGGGAGAGTTTATTACAGAACTCAATCAGAATATGTTCAAGGGAACCTAATTGGAGAAGAAGTCATCAGAAAGCATACTCTAAATTGTGACTCAAACAAGATTTGAGCTACACCCTAAAAATTGGTAATCAACGACCTAATCCCATGATCCCAGCATTTTTTTTTTCTTACAAGAATATAGACACAGCATGGAATTTACTTTTATACACAGGAATGAAATCACAGTCTGTGGGAAATGAGAATAAAAAAGGTTTATTTACCTTGTCAAAGACGGGAAACTCAGCCTTGAAGCGAGTACAAACAAACTCTTGTATCTGTTCATTAGATCCAGGCTCCTGTGCCCCAAACTGATTGCAAGGGAATGCCAGAATTTCCAGACCTATAAACAAAGAAGATCAAGTTTTTAAGAAAGACGACATGGGTTCGTTATGGTAATCAATTCCGGTGTGTTCATATAAATTTTAAAACACATGAATCTGAGAATAACATGAACAGAATAAAATATATGTAGAATAAGTACGACAAACAAAATGAATTTACCATGCTGCATTGATAACATTGACACTACCACCATAAGATACCAGTTAAGATAACAATGAAAGGGACAGCTAGAAAGAAGCAAAAGGAAGGACAACAATCACAACAACATAAGAACAGAAGACAAAAACCAACCTTTCTGTTTGTATTTCTCGTACAACTGGCTCAGCTCTGTGTAATTCGAATTAGTCAAGCCACTGCATCGAATATCGAACCAACATCAAAATATAAACATAAAGAATTGGTTTTTTAAATAACATTAAGGACAAAATCCCTCCAATTTCTAGACCCACATAGTGCAAATTTAGGGTAAAACCAGAGAACAATACGAAAAACATATTTAAGCAAAATGAAAATTCGTAAAATTCAATTTCAATTAAAAAAAGAAAATGAGAAAAATGAAAATTGGAGAGATACCATTGTGAGGCAACGTTGACAATTAAGAGGACCTTCCCTTTGTAGTCACCAAGATTAATATCATTTCCCTTAGCATCCTGAAAAAGGATAAAAAAAAGGGTTAATCTAAAATTTACATATTTCACAAATTAAATAATGAAAAGAAGCAAGATATATACTTTAACGGTGAAATCGTGGACTGATTTGGCGCTTGAGGTAGCCATGGTGTGATCCGTCCTCAAAGAAGAGAACAAAGGAGTGGTTGGAGTTGAAGGAAGCGGTTTGAAAGAAGCGTGAAGAACGGGACGGAAGAGGGTACGGTTGAAGAAGAATTGAAGAGAAGAAGAAGAAGAAGAAGTAGAAGAGGTGGAAGAAGCTAATCTTATAGTAGTTGTGCGGATCAAAATTCGAGTGGTTGAAGAAGAAAGCATTGGTAAAAACTTAAAAAGATTAAATGGTAATTTATAGCGTCTTTATTCCGCGTAGAGCGACACCTTCCTTGGTTCTTCTTATTGGTGTAGCTGGGTCCAGTTCGAGGATTCCATCGTTGTATTATTATGTGAACGTGATCACTTGCGTTGTTGTGTCTGGTGATGGTGACGGTGGAGAAGTAAACGTTTCACACGTGGTTGCATATGGAGCCTTCACGTGTCCTTGTCGGTAAGGATCACGTGCATCACGACTTACGTTTACTGTACTATTCGTCCTGAAAAAAAAGTTATCTTACATCTTAGAGATAATTTTGTTATTTTACTAAAAAACAAAATTAAAAAAAAATCAATTAAACCAATTAAATTTAATATAATTAGGCTTTGACTATATTTTTTGGGACACAAGCAACTTGTCAACAGAAGGCTTGATACCCATGAGCCCATAAGGCCCAGCTCGTTGGCAAAGAAAAAAAGAAAAAAGAAAAAAAGGGATGAATAAAGATGATTGCAGATAAGATAACAAAGTGTCGAGTGCGTAAGCAACTGAGAAAGAAAGGGAAAAAAAGAAAGAAAGAAAGAAGAATATGAAGCTGAAGGTGCATGCTGATCGAATGTCCCAGCCATCCCGTGCGATTCTCATATTTTGCAAGTATTTCAGTTTCCCTTTTTATCTTTTCTTTTAATTTATGGTGTCTCCTTCTGGAATTTGAATTTGTCTCTGTACAGAGTGAATGGAATAGATTTTGAGGAGATCACAATCGATTTATCCAAGCGTCAGCACCTATCTCCCGAATTTCGAGGTAACTAGTCAATGTCTATTTTTATTTACATGGAAATCAGTATCTGTACTCTCTCTCGCCTTTAACTTTATTGGATTTTCTTCAGCGATTAACCCTTTAAGGAAAGTCCCTGCAATTGTTGATGGAAGGTTCAAGCTATTTGAGAGGTGCTTCAACTTCAAATTTCACGTTTAATGCAATTCTTCTAATTTCATTTGTTGTTGGTTTGGTGCTGGTTACAGTTATCAACGCATTTCATGCTTATGGAGTTTGGAATTATCTTCATGTTAACGGGTGTGCTTTTTTCTTCTTTGCAGTCATGCAATTCTTATATATCTTGCTTCTGCGTTTCCAGGAGTTGCAGACCATTGGTTAGTTATTGTTGTCTTGTCCCATTTTATAAATTTAATTGCAACGTTGTCTGTGAAAGCAAAGTATGTGAATACACAGAAGCAAGAAGGGTGTTGGCTTCTTTTGTTTCGTTGGCTAAATGCTGTGTTTCTTAACAAAGTGGAGTCTTTTGGCTACTAACAAAAATGTTATTTTCGCAGTTTGTTTGTGTGCAATAGTGCGTAATGCGATAGGGGACTGTTGGGTTTAACAGAGGGGACGGGAAGGAAAGGAAAGAGAGGGATTTTGATTTGATATTTTGTTTGGTTAATTTAAGAGGAGGGAAGGAGAGGGGAAGTAATCCTTTTCTTGTTTGGTTTACAAAGTGAGGGGAGGGATTTTAAATATTAAGTTACTTTTATATCCTTATAATTTTGGATATCAAAACATAAATAGAGTTATTTTTGTCAATAGAATTGAAATTTTTAAATTTCTTGCCTTCCCTCCAAATCTCCCAATGCTGGAGGGAACCAAAAATTGAATGAGGACGGATTTTGCTCTCTTCCTAAATAAGAAAGGTATAAGAAAAAACCTGCCTTCCCCTCTTCTCCATTTCTCTCCAACTAAACACTATATAAGATTCACCTTATTTGACTGGTTGCTAAAATAAAATGATGAAACAAAAAAATTGATGCTTCTGTTCCTAAACCTGAAGGAAGGAATCCTTTTGCAACAATTACCTTTCTGTATGGTTGTCGTTATACAGCAGGTTCCTTTCTGTTGTGTTTATATTGATCCCTTTGCTGTGACACAGACTTCTTTTGCCTTTCCTTTTTTTAACATTTTTTTGTTCATTCCATCAGGTACCCAGGTGATCTTTCCAGGAGAGCAAGAATTCACTCTGTGTTAGATTGGCATCATCAGAACTTGCGTCGTGGGGCAGGTGCATCATAGCTCATAAAGAAGCCTTCTGGGATTTTTGTTGTTGGCTTGGATGTGAAACTAATATGAAATTAATGTTATTTCATGAGTTCTTATTATGAAGGGTAGCTTTATATTCTCGTTCAAAGTAAATAAGAAATTAGTGCCATGTTTTGCTTGCTTGCTAGATCAGGTAGCTTTATATTCTAGTACTTTTGAGGAATTTTTATTTCCCTTTGCAAAGTGCTAAAGTTGAATCAAGTTAACAACATAGCTAGAAGATAATAGTGAAGCTTCAGAAAATATGCTTAAACAGCTTACTCTGGACAATTTAATTAGTTGTAGAAGACAGTATATCTTATTCTGCTGCTTCGTATCAATAGCAAAGTAATTTGCATTACGGTTTGTTTAGTTCTGGTAATCCCATCTATTTAGGTTGGTTTACATTTTATTCTTGTAAATGTACATGTTAAAGCCATGCTTTGCATAAATTTCCTTTGGGCACAGGTGGAGATGCTGTTTTTTGTTTGTATGCAAAATTTTGCCTGTTTTGTTTCTTTCAATGACACATCTTCTTGATTGTATTCCAGCTGGATTTGTTCTAAATACTGTGCTAGCTCCAATATTGGGTCTACCACTGAACCAACAAGCAGCTGCTGAAGCTGAGAAAATTTTGATTTCATCTTTGACAAAAATAGAAAACATTTGGCTTAAGGGGAATGGACAGTACTTGCTTGGTGGCTTACGACCATCCATTGCAGATCTCAGTCTGGTTTGCGAAATTATGCAATTAGAGGTAAATGGTGAAGTTCGTCTAACAAAAGAATCATCATCAACTATGTCATGATATAGGGGAATGGAGATGGTTTTATTTTTGCATTAAGCATTCTTCTTAAGTTTGAATAAAATAAATTGCAGACCGCTTTCTGATTTAGTTTATGTTGTATGGTTGAAAAGTCCAGAAACATGCAGGTATGATCAGGCATGTTCGGCTTGGCAAAGATAAGGAAATATAGTTTAGTTTTAACGTTGGTCTAATTAAGAACTGTTTACTTAAAATTGTGATATGCAGGAAAGAATGTTGATCCCCTCCTCAAGAGGAATTTCGATTTTAACTTGTTTTTTTGGTTGCAGCTTTTAAATGAGAAGGACCGTGATCGTATTCTTGGCCCACACAAGAAAGTTCAGCAGTGGATTGAGAGCACAAGAAATGCAACGAGGCCTCATTTTGATGAAGTTCATAAAATCCTTTATAAGCTCAAAACGAAGCTTTATGAGCAGCAAGCTAATCAGGCAGATAGCGTGACGGAATCTAGGATTAGAACCCCTCTAACTTCAAAGATGTGACCAAACAACCTTGCCAGTAACGTACTTGTGACAACTTTATGTGATGCATATATGTTGGTTGAAACATCAAAGATGACATTTATGTCTGTATTGAGACCCTGAATCTATGTTGGACAGGTAATAAATGTGTTTGCCATTTGAAGAAACAATCGTGCCCTCCTAAATGCAGATTTATCGTCACAGATATTAGGTGTGTTTGGAAACATGTTACAACTCGGTTGAATGGAGATTTTTCTCTTTTCGATGATCAATCTGTGAAGAAAGTGGAGTGTTGGATCCACGTTCAGTTCAACGGAATAGAAGTGTAAACACATACTTGGTCTATCTGTTCCTTAAATTTGCCTTGTAAAATATTTTCTAGTTCCTAAATTGTTGTAGAGCTATATGAATTATACAAGATAAATTTGTATGCATCATCTAATGGCAATGACGTGGGAACACATCATTGAGTGATAATTATATAACCATTGTATCAAAATTTGGTTGAACTAAGGACACATTCTCCATTTATTTCTTTATTAATTTCTCACTGATAAAATGTCTGAAGTAATGCATTAATTACCACAAAAAATGATTAATATAATCGCAGACTTTAGACATACATAAGGTAAGTAGTCTTCTCATAATATGATTTATTTCATATGTAAAATTATATAATCAGAATGAATTTTTGGACCACTTGGTTAAATGACTGCTGATGTTGGTAATATCATAGTTTATAAAATGTTAAAAAACCAGGCAATAGAATTATAATGAATGTATATTTTAAGCTTTTTTAATACAAAATTAAAAGAGTATTTTTATTGTTTTTTTCTTTTTATATTTTGATAAAAATCTTCAGACTGTGTCTTCCTTAAAAACTCTGAAAACCTTATCGAACATACGGTCTGGTCTGGTTTGGTTTTGTTGAACACGTTTATCCAGAAGGGTAGGTAAAAAGCACCGTGCCTTATGAGCATTCCCCAAATATATTTGTTTAAGGATATAAAAATTGATTGTTAGCAGGTAGTGGTTTTTTGGTAAGTATGTAATAAGGCACATGAATCGATGCAACAACACAAGATTTGGAAGTAAAGTCAAAGCGGTGCTTTGCTGATTCCTGTGCTTCCCAAACTAGTTATCGATGATGATGGAGAAGCTGACGGTGTACGCGGATCGAATGTCCCAGCCTTCTCGAGCAGTTCTCTTATTCTGCAGGTTAATATTTCTTCATACTTTACACATAACATAACAATAAACAAAACCATGATCTGTTAAATGTTTATATTATAATACGATTATGATGAACTAAACACTGTTGTCTTAATCTTTGTGTTAAAAAGGTTGAACGCCATTGACTTCGAGGAGATCAAAGTAGACATTTCCAAACGCCAGCACCTTTCTTCTGAATTCAGAGGTATCTGTAGTTGTATCAAGCTAATCTAGAATGTTAATTAAGCAAGTATTCATTCACTAACAACTCTGCACTTAACGAACTCTGGGTTCCTAATTATAAGATTCAGTTATTTAATCCATAATTAAGAAAAATAGTTAGTTTAGTTAATAAACTAATTTGTCTTCACTTCTTTTTTTTTTTTTTTCAAATCTACTTTTGTAATTATTTTTGTCTTTCTTTTAAATATTTGTTAATACAATCTCTGATTGATTTTAATTAAGAGTGTTTTTGTATAAAATAATCAATATGAAATGCATTCAAGGAGCGCAAAGATCTGGTGCATTTGTTTTGCAGTGAATACTGATTGGTGCAAAGTTTGTGGTCTACTCTGCTGTTGACCTGAGATGTATTTTATTTACTGCAGAAGTAAACCCTCTGCAGAAAGTTCCGGCTATTGTTCATGGAAACTTCAATCTCTCCGAGAGGTAATTATTGATACGGGCCTTCTCTTTTAACTCATCTCTATGATATATTTGATTATTTTGGGCATTATTGCACTTATCGCTTTGTTCCCATGTAGTTGACTTTGATAAGGGTGGAGTATCAAAGATTTGTCTGGTCCTGTTCCTGTAATATATCTTCATTTCTGTCCAAGTTATGTTTTGAGAATATTATGTTATGCTGGGAGTGGAACCAAACTGTCATATTTGTTTTGAAGCTCTCTGTTTGCGTATCCTATCCACATAGAAAGTGTCCTGATGTTTATCTGATTTACCAACAATTTTTAGTTGCTTCTGAAATTAATTTCGTTTTACTTGAAAACAATCTCATTGAAATCGTTAGATGGTTTTTTATACATGATGCAGAGTGGTATCAAACTTTTATAAAATACATTTATTTTTGGTTTAATTTAAGTTTGTGCCTTTTTTTGGCTATTTGCATCTTGGCTCAGGAAAGTGAATGAAACATGTTGTGCATTAAAATTTTCAGTGGATTCATGAATTATTTTCATCTACTGATGTAGGATGACTAATGATGTATTTTGTTTTTATATAACGTGTTTTCTGTTGCCTCATACTAATTTAGTTTCCGCAAATGCTGCAATGAGTAAATTTTGAATTTCCCCACTAGGAGTATTTTATATTTTGATTTTATTATATGTTCTAAACACTTCGTTTTCTTTTGGCAGTCATGCAATCATTGTCTATCTTAATTCGGCTTTTCCTGGAATTGCTGAACATTGGTTAGTAGATTATTTTCTTTTTGCTTATGAAGTCCTGAACTACTTGGTTGTTTTAAAGAAATACTTCTAAGTCTTTTACATATATGAGTTGAACTGTTTCAGTTCGCAATAGTGGAACATGATTTATAAACGGCCTAATCATAACCAGGGTTCCTTGTCCATTACTAATGCTCTTGTTCCTCACTTTTGGATATTTATCTGAAAGTACATATTAGTATGAAACAATATAAAATAAACAACTTAAAAAATTATAATGCATTTTAAATTCCATTTTGTGATACCTAGAGATACATTTTCAACAATCTAAACTAATCATAGTTGCCATGTTTTGTGTATAAAAGTGTAAAAAATTTGCAATGTAAAATTTATGCTAATGAGGTATCAGGTACCCAATCGATGTTTTCAGGAGAGCAAAAATTAACTCAGCAATGGATTGGCATCATTCTAATTTACGACAAGGAACAGGTACTTTACACAACTAAATCCAGACATCTTCCAACTATTTCGAGTAATGTGATTTGCTGTACGCAGTTGAGTTCGTTGTATGAAACTTGCTTGCTAGTTCATGATTGTTACATTTATGGCTAAAAAATTCTAACTAGCAAGAGAAAATTCAATCATATAGTCATTATCTTCTCCGTACTTACTGTGAACATTCAAGTTTGTTGTAAGTATATTAGAGGGCAAGTTGGCAACATCTTTAATAATTGTTTATATGGATCAAGATGGGGTTAAATAATTGTTACCTTCACTAGTATAAGATAGACTTTTTACGTACGTTATTTTAGCCTTTTTACGTTAGATATAAGTTTGATGTTAATACAGGAGACATATATTGACGTCAATTATTATGACCGACATAAATTTATGTCGGTTATGTCAAGGACTAACGTCAATTTATGTCGGATGAATCACGAAATAGACATAAAAGGGTTTCAAAAATAAAAAAAAGGACGAAATTTATATCGGACCAATCTACAACTGACATAAATTTATGTCGGATAAGTCTATAACCGACATAAATTTACGTTGGGTAAGGCCAAGTCCAACGTAGATTCATGTTTATTGTGGCCTGGTCCGACGTTCGTTTTAGTTTTAAAATATTGAATTTGTTTTGTCTTACAACCAAAACCTGCAAACATATTTTAATGACAAAAAGTCTAGAGATTCAAGTTTCTTGAGACAGTAATTTAAAAATACAACAATACAATATAATATAAACGATAAAAGTTAAACTAGTATAAAAACTAAGCTACCTAAATTCTAAACTACATAATATATTACAATATAATACAAACAATAACCTATAAACTAAGTAGTAGAATTATTGAACAAAAAATCTTACCTAGTGTTCTCTAATTTGTATAATATCATGTTCTGGTAGTAGGGATGAATCTTGAAATATTTGAAACATTAATTTGACTCCTATTAACATGCAATACGCATAAAGGTAAATCAACTTAACAAATGTGGAAAACAATTATTCCGTCCAAGAATCAGCTTATACCCACACAAATTATGACTCTCATTCAATACATGATATAAATATAGTAGCAACACTTAAAGGAGTTTATTTGCTTATTATACTCGAATTGAGAAAAAAAAATGTTATTTTCAAAATTTAAATACAAGAGTATAAATATTACTTTAATATAATATTTTCTCTTTTTCACATGTGCTTAGGAGCATATTTTGCAAAAATTATTGAGACAAATCTCTTTTGGACCCTCTTTTTCGCTTTTTTCCTTTCGTTATTGTGCGTCCAAATTCGACATCAGAATCAACTTATCCTTCTTCAAACATTTTTTGTTTTGTTTTCATCATCATAAAACCCTATATACTCGTAATATCTTCTCTTTACATCATATCATATCATTTTTTTTCTTACTTACTCATTATTATTATATAATTAATATGCAAATAACAAAAAACGTGAGATTCAAACAATTGAATAAATAATTGAACAAGTGAAAATATAAAAATGCAGTGTATAAATCGTAAATCCACTCAAACACATAAATAAATAATTACAAATTACAATAATTCAATTTCAATAACAATCCAATGGAGATATTCATGCAATAACGTGATTGAGATCCCCTAAAATAATCACGAATTTAATTTCAACATAAAGGAGAATACATAGAATACTAACCTCAAATATACAAAAAACGATATAAAATTCGAATTTAATCGGAAAGAAACATCATCTACCACAAATAGAACACAATATAGGTGTTTTCGTCACTTATTGTGATCGAAATGTACCTTGAGAGAAGTTGCTTTGGTTGTTGTCGTCATCATCACTCAAAAATCCTTATGTGGGAGAGAAAAAAGAAGTCCTAAAATAATTAAAACATGACTTTTAAGTCGGATCTCGTAAGGATTGCCATAAAAGTTGTTTTTTAGGTCGGTTATAAGTCACCGAAGAAAACAACTTTTACGTCCTTATTTACAAAAATTCCCATTTTGGATCAGATGAGAATTGGGTGTCTAAAAAACCCATTTTGCAGTATCGCTTGTGGACAGCTTCATGTCATGAAGTAAACTAAATTAGTATTTTGCTATCATGCAATTATCAATAATTTAATTAACCATTTTTCATCTGAGTTTGTTTTAAAAGCCACATCTGATCGAAGAATAAATTTTACCATTGCTTGACACCATCTTTGTTTTATCCTACTTTTATAGAACGAGCCTGTTTCTTTTAAACTATGGCTAACTGGCAGAAGCATACACCCTTTGCAGTGAGCTATGTAATAAATACTGTACTAGGACCTGCAACTGGCCGTCCACTTAATCCAAATGCAGCTGCTGAAGCAGAAAAAGTATTAATTTCTTCTTTATCAAATTTGGAGGATATTTGGCTCAATGGAGATGGACGCTTCCTGCTTGGTGGTTCTCAACCATCTATAGCAGATCTCAGCATGGTTTGTGAACTTATGCAACTTGAGGTAACTATATGTGACTTGTAATTATTGATGCTGCATTCCACCAAATTGGCTCAATGTCTTGAAATCTTCTGTTGAATTAGAATTGTGATTGTTCGTATAATTGCTTTTTACAAGAGTTTGCAAAATTAAACTGTGATAAACTTAGGTTTTGGATGAGAAGGATCGGAGTCGTATACTATCTCCATACAAGAAAGTTCTTCAGTGGATTGAGGATACAAGAGCTGCAACAAACCCTCACTTTGAAGAAGTGCATAATATCCTTTATAGAGCTAAAAAGAAATTTGAACAGCAGCGTTCAAGGGTAGCTGAAACTGGGACTGAGCCTAGCAACAAGATAGGTGGCCATTCAAAGATGTGACCGACACAGCTTCATCTTTGCTGCAAAACTGAAAACATAATCATAGTTTAATGTGTTGTCATAAGTACTCAAAGGATATTAAATATTTGAATATTTTTCTCTCAATATATTTAAGATGAGATTACCATCCCATTTGATTAATGGACAAAACAACACCTTTACAAAATGAACATACCCAATTATAAAGAGTCACAAAAATTCTACAATATTATGATTAAAAAAATTACTAGTAATATTCTAATAAGAAAATGATTGACATATTTATTTAAAATATAAATTACTCACTTTATTTTAAAATAAGTAACACACGGTTTTTTTTTTCAAGGATTAATAAAAATAATAAATAAATTTGTAAGGTAAACAATTTTATTAAACTATCTTTGTAATTTATTCTTCATTCTAGGACTGATTCTAAAATGTCCCTTGAGATTTTTTTCTTCTGTGTGTTAAAACGGCACTTACAAGTATATTTCACAAAACATTTTTAAAAAATAAATATATTTTTGAAGAAAATAAAACAGTAAAGAAATATATGTTATACAATTTAATATGTTTATAAATTATTAAATTATAATATTATTATAAATATTTTAAAAAATAAATGATAAAAAAAAGCAGAATTAATATAGAAATTAGTAAAATTAGAATTTTTTTATAAGAATACACATCTATCCGTATGGAAAGAAAAAAAAACATAAATAAATTTAATGATACGTTTTGGAGACCAATAGATATTTATAAATATTATATAATGTTAATATGTAAAATTTTAAATTTTAAAAAATGATTAAAATAAATATTATTTGTCTCTTGAATGAATGAATATTTGGAGACAAAAATAATAATGTTAAATCATAAAATATTGGTTATAAAAACTAAAATAAAAATTCATTATAAATTTTACAAAATGTTTATAGGAATCAAAATAGAATGAATCTCTTATTTTATCCAAATTAAAAACGTATTTACGCATATGATTAATGTCTTTAAATTTCAAATAAACTAAAAGCATGAATGACTAAAAAATATTTCCACGGTGATATAAAACGGATGGGAAGAGGAATTGAGAATGACGACCACCAAGAGAGCCACCAACAACTGCAGTAAGTTTCCCAACCTCTTCTCTCTTTTGATTACAGTTTCAGGAATCTTGTCTAACCTAAAGTCTCAACATGTTAGTTGTTGGCTTTTAGAACGTAGAAGATTCCCTTTGTCACTCTAAGCAGTAATGTTTTGTCAGCCGTTTCTTAGAAATTTTTCCACACTTTAATTGCCCCACACTATTATGTGAATTTTAAATTTGAGACCATGAGAGAATTACCTATTGTTGAGTCTAATCTCTACTTTATTTTTGTACACATTTCAGATTATTAGGTTTAGAAAAGTTTAGATGAGTTGGATCTTTACCATTTGTAACTTTTGACAGTGTATCTCACTCAAATAAGGTTCCCTTTTGTACCGCTTAGAACCCTCAGAATGGAGGTTAATATGTCTAGTTACCTCCAATATGTACATATTTTAGTAATATGGAAAGGATATTGCTTGGTAATCGTGGTACACATTGCTAAAATTGTACGATGGTGTGGTTGACTCTTTGTTGAACAGTTAACTCACTTTAACAGGAATGGCGAAAAATTGGTGGATTATTGTTGAACTCTGTTGCTAACTACGATAAAAAGAATACACACTGATCTGTCTTTGTTGACTTCAGAGACCAATTACTTAGATGGAAGAGGAGAGCAAAATAACAAAGGGAAAATATGCTGCTGATATTTCCTCCATTAAAGAAGCACATGCCCGAATCAAATCATTGGTTCATAAAACTCCGCTTCTATCCTCCACCTCGCTGAATGTTATGTCAGGAAGGCTGCTCTACTTTAAGTGTGAATGTTTACAAAAGGGGTGAGAAGTGGATATTTTATGAATTGCACAAAATTTAGGATGCTATTTTTCTTCTCTTATTCTTTTTGGGAGTTATTTGTGTACTTTACAATCCACCACACTTTTGTAAAAATGAAAGATGATGACATATTTCCTCGGGTATTCTATGGCCATCAGGGGAGCTTTTAAATTTAGAGGTGCCTGCAATGCTGTGTTCTCTCTCAGTGATGAAGATGCTTCTAAAGGGGTTGTAACACACAGCAGGTTTGCTATGTGTAATAAATCTAGATTTATTTTTTTCCTAATCAGATTCTGTCAAAAGCTCTTCTGATCGTGTTCTACAAAATCAGTGGAAACCATGCTGCAGCATTGGCTTTAGCCGCAAAACTTCGGGGGATCCCTTCATATATTGTTATTCCAAAAAATGCCCCAACTTGTAAAATTGAGAATGTAAAGCGGTATGGTGGTCAGGTTGTGTGGTCCGAGGCCTCTGTTCAATCAAGGGAAGAAGCTGCAGACAAAGTGTGGCAGGAAACTGGTGCTATCTTTATACATCCGTATAATGATGGTCGCATATTAAGGTACAAGTACGATGTTGATTATTGTATAATTTGTTTCTGTCTAGATGTGATATGAATCTTAATAACACAAGGATGATTTAGGATCTTGTGAACATCGTAGTGATGTGAACCCGTTATGATAATTTAGGATCACAAGGGGTAAGTTTAGGATCTTTAGGGTTAGAAATAGGAGATTCATGATAACCCAACCAAATGATGTGAACATGACCTATGATAAGGGCTAGAGCAAGGGAAACAAAGGAAGCTCTTCAACAAGTATTGTTGGCTGACCAAATTGTGTTTTGATAAATTAATGAGCTTTAGTTTGATTTTGTTTTAAGTTGTAATAAGGGTCCAATTGAAAATTTAGTCATTAGCCTTTGGGAGACCAAGGGGTGCATAGCTGATTGACTTTTGGTTGCCACAGTTTCAAATACAATAAGTCATTAAGTAGTTTCAATTCCTAGGTTAATGGATCATTATTAGCCTTTATTTGTTTCTATTAAATAGTTTTCAATTCCTAGATTAATGAGTTATTATTAGTATTTATTTTCTTTTATTGAGTCTTTTGTAATTCTGATGGCAACGCTTCTATATCAGCTGAACCATTCTTATCAAGAAATAACAAGTGAAATTTTATTTAGAAATATTAGAGTTTATCTTTTTTATCTTAGTGAGAGTGATTCTCCTAAATTCTTGAGTGATTCAAGAACCCTTGGCTGTATCAAAAGACTGTCACATCCTTTGTGTGTTGCCTCCCTTAGGAAGAGTGATTCTTTCCTTCCACCTTCTTTCTAATTCCTAAATTTCTTACAAGGTTCTAACCCTAAAGATCCTAAATTACCCCTTGTGATTCATATCAATCTTTAGGATTAAAACCTTGTAGGAAATTTAGGAATTTAGTGATAAGGTGAAAGGAAAGACTGATGACTAAGTTTCCAATTGAGCCCTTATTACAACTTGTAATGAAACTAAACTAAAGTCCATTAATTTATTAATCCAAAACACAATTTGGTCAACCAATAATACTTATTGAAGAGTTTCCTTTACTTCCCTTGCTCTAGCCATTGTCATAGGTCATGTCCACATCAATATGTCTTGTCATTCAACTCTTTTGGGAGATAAACTTGGTGTCAGATCATGTAGTTTATACAATGTAGTATTTGGCCAATCTTTTTTCAGTTCTTAAAAGTAGAAGCTCCTCTAATTGGCACCTGTAGGGAAGCTTTGTTTTTTTGGCTCTTTTTTCAATTATCGCTTCTCTAACATTGTGTTTGAACTAGCTTATTCTTTTTAAGAAAAATCCATATAAATCTGGGCCATATTCAACCCAAGTTCTGCTTTAAGCCTTATTTATTTATTTATTTTACACAACACTCGAGCATCTCTTCTGATACTATTGATTGCTAAGCTGTAAGATAAATCTATGATATCATGTCACTGTTTATTCAACATAAAAAAACTTGACATATTAAGTAGGCTGATGCTATAGGAATTTGTGTCTTGCTCACAATTGCACTTTAAATATGTTGGACTGTTCTTGCAGTGGCCAGGGTACCATATCCTTGGAGATTCTGGAGCAAGCCCCACATATAGATACGCTCGTGGTACCCATAAGTGGTTTGTTCACTATTTTGCAGTCAAGCTGTCGACCATAATGTTGTAAAATTTGCATTAATTTCAACATCTGCTTCTTGGTTTTCCAACAAATGAAACTGCAGGTGGTGGTTTGATATCAGGAATTGCATTGGCTGCCAAGTCCATCAACCCAGCTATTCGTATTTTAGCTGCTGAACCTAAAGGGGCTGATGATGCGGCACAATCTAAAGCAGCTGGCAGGATAATAAGATTGCCCGAGACAAATACTATAGCTGACGGTCTTCGAGCATTTCTTGGAGATTTCACATGGTAAAAATTTTTATAGCAATTAGGATAGTAAACTGAGAATAAAGCTTTGGCTCCTTTTTTGTTCTCTCTTCTTTCAATTTTCTTCAATTTGCTATTATTATATAAGGGGTTTGTTTTTAAAATTCCTCTTCTCATGTTGATTTTTATTCTTCTCTTGATTTGTCATGTTTGCTAATCCACCATGTTATGATGGAACAGGCCTGTAGTACGAGATCTTGTTGAGGACATTATAACTGTTGAAGACAGTGAAATAATAAAAGCAATGAAACTGTGTTTTGAAATTCTTAAGGTGGTCGTAGAACCAAGTGGAGCAATTGGCCTTGCTGCTGTTCTATCCGATACCTTCCAGAAGAATCCTTCTTGGAAGGAATGCAACCATATAGGAATAGTAGTTTCAGGAGGCAATGTTGATCTGGCCATGCTTTGGGATTCTTTGAACAAAGGAACATGACTTCGATTTTGATTATGTGGACCTTCATTGTTCTAAATATGAGTGTAAACCATATCATTTGTATGGTATGGTTAAGCCTATTCCATTGCTTCAAGATTCTTATTTTGTTAATAATTATTTCAACAGTTATTTCGAGATTTATTCAATAGATTTTAAAAGATTTTGTGAAAATGAAATATTTTTTAAAAGATTTTTAAATTATTAAAATTTTGCAATTTGGATTTTGAAATTATAATAATTTTAATAAATATAATAATGATTTAAAACTTTTAATACATTGAGATTGTTAAAAAAAGGTATTGTTTTTTTAATCTGTTTACACATATATTATTATAGTAAATTTAATAATTATAATATTCTTTAAAAAATTAATTTAAAAATATCATATAAGGAGAAAAGAGGAGATTATTTAATTTAAAAATACTCTTTAAAACTTACAATATATAATAGTTATTTTGTTTCATAAATAATTAATTTTTACTCATATTGGGAGAAAAACTAAAAAAAAATAATTCTTTTATAAACTTATTATTCATTCTCAATTATTATTTTATTAATTAAATTTAAATTTTTTAAAATATATAATTTGCGATAAAAAGTATTATATATATATATATATGTATATATATATATATATATATATATATACTATTAAAAAAATAAAATCTTAATTTGAAGGTATAAATTTAAAAATTCATTTCATTCATAAAAAAATTAATTAATAATTATAAAAAATTGTGATTACATAAATACTTTTTTTTTTTTGACTATTTTTTTTAGTGAACACCTTTTTTTCTTTATAGGTGATTTTCATCTCAATCTATCAGTAATACTTTTCAAAAAAAGTTTTGCCTCTAGTAAATGGAGACTTAATCTTGCCATGTATGTTGCCTGAATATTTTCAGCAAGTACACTAAATTGAGTAAGTAATAAACGGGAAAGAGTATATTTCTATGAGACAATTTAATAAATATTATTTTGCTACATCAAACTAATTGAATACCATTCAAATTAAAAGGAACTGTATGAAATTAAAGTGTGCAATTAAGTTAACATACTAATAGAAATTAAAATGAAATATCAAGTAAAAAAATTGATCAATTGATTTTAGGATTTTGTTTTTTTACAAACGGCAGTTAGTCCAAAAAGGAATTTTTCTATAAAATTTACAATATTATTAAAAATTGTGTGAACAAAAAATTGAAACAATATGTAGATAGATAGATTAAAGAGGAGCGAAGTTAACGTGAAAGGATAAAAATAAATTTGTGGAGGAAGAAAACAAATTTGCAACAAATCCATCCATTAATTTCTCCCTTCAAGTTCTAATTTTCTGATGCTAATCTTAGTCTTCTAAAAGTTCCACCTCTGATTCTGCAATATACAAGGATATTTGTTCGTTATTTTCTCTGCATACTTGTCATTGAGTTTATTGTTCTCATTTTCCCATCTCTATTGCTTCCCTCGCTTTCCCTTCATTCACATTTCGCAGGGCGCTTCTTTCTCATTGCTGGCAAAATGGTATGCATTTCTTTCTCAATTTTCCACACTGTTCGTCTTTTGTTTGTAGTCTTCAAGACAAACACCCTCTTCTTACTTTTTCAACTTTTGGAAAAAGAGAATAGACTATGTACCTTTGAATGCAACATCTTATAAAAGAACACTATCAGCATTGTATATTAAAAAAACTAGGATGTTTTGCACAATATTAAAATCAAGTTTTTGTGCATGTTTGATGTGATTCTGAGAAGCTATTAGTTATGGTTTTACATTTCAAAACCCCTTTTTTTTGTTTACTTCTATGTTAGAATGATGTGTTACATACCCTACATTTGTTACCAAAAGATGACAGCAAGTCAGTTTCGTACCTAGCTTCATCTATGATGTTTTTCAAAACCCTCTATTTTTGTCATCTGAGGATGAAGAATGAATAAGAATCATTGAAATCTTAAATCCGGGACATGGAAATTTTGGGGCAGGCAAATGCAGCGTCCGGTATGGCTGTGCATGATGATTGCAAACTGAAGTTTCAAGAGCTTAAATCAAAGAGGAGTTACAGGTTCATTGTGTTCAAAATTGAAGAACAGCAAGTAGTAGTTGACAAATTAGGGGGCCCCTCGCAAAGTTATGAGGACTTTATGGCCAGTTTTCCTGCTAATGAATGTCGTTATGCTGTCTATGATTTTGACTTCACAACTAATGAGAACTGCCAGAAAAGCAAGATCATCTTCGTTGCATGGTACTCAATTTACATACACAATCGCATTTGATTTCATAAATATTGTTCTGGCTGAACAGGTATATATAAACTATGTATGTTATTACATGGTTCGATTTGTGACCTTACAATGTAAAGTTATGTATATTATTGCAAATTAAGACAATTTGAAATCACTGGTTTAATCCTCGTGTTATGATGTGCCTGGTGCAGGTCACCAGATTCCTCAAAGGTGAGGATGAAGATGGTGTATGCTAGTTCCAAGGATAGATTCAAGAGGGAGTTGGATGGCATTCAGGTTGATATGCAAGCAACTGATCCAAGTGAGATGAGCTTGGACCTTGTGAAAGCACGAGCCATCTAATTTGCCTTCTTTCATTGTTATTATCTGTTCAATGTTAATGGATTAACTCCCAAGAATTTGGCAAATTTGGGAGCCATCTTTCTTTGCCTATTATAGCTTGGATTCAACAACAACGACAAATCCAAAATGACATGCATATATATGCATCATTCTTCCCTGTACTCGATCCTTTTCAGTTTTCTAGTTATCCTGGATTCCTGGCTTGTTTGAAGAGCCATGTGTAGTGGTGGGCTCAAGATTAGTAGCATTTATTTATTATATATACTTTATAGGTTGGTCATTCTCATACCAAGTTGCCAATCTCACCACTTGGTTTTCACTTGATGAAGGTGGTTTTGTGCAGCTGCTATTGAAGAATGATGACACTGATATAAGTCTAATGTTTCTTCATTTTTCTATTCTTGTTAACTATTATATATGTTTCTTCATTTTCGTGTATCTCTTGTTTGCAAGTACTATATATGGTATAGAAATTATTTTGGCAACAACAGAGTCGCATGATTTATGTATGAAACCAATAAAAATCAATAATACCTCAGCTTCAGAATACAGATACTTATGATTTCTATTGTATATCATCTTCTCACATGTGTTAGATTACAGAATTAGTTTTTATATGACTATTGATTGCTGGAAAAAAATCAGAACAAACACTGATAATATATCATGAAAACGATGCAATAAAATATGAAAATTAATAGCTATGAGAGGTGGTATAATATAAAAAGGAAGATTAAAAATGTGTTAATAAAGTATTTGATATATAAATATATCTTTTTAAAATATAACAAAAACATTTTACTATTGAAAAATATCTTCATGTAGTATGTTTTACTTTATATAAGAAAAAAAAATTGGATAGCTGAAGACATAAAACATAAATAAAAATCTAATTATGCAATTATATTAAAATCCCAAACTTTAGAAAATGGATTGATTTAGTACTTTTTTATTATTTATTTTCTTGCAATTGATAAAACTACATATTAAGTTAATTTTTTTAGCACTCATTTATTTTTATGATTGATAAACATTATTTTATTTTTACTATTATGAATTGTATTTTGATATTTTATAGCATAAATAATAGTTATTATTTTAATTTATAGTGTTTACGAAAATTTATTAACTTGATATATATAAAAAAATATATTATTTTAATATTTATATTAAAAAAAAATTGGCCTGCTACCTGTTAATGATTAAGATAGGCAAGGACATTTCAATTGATGTCAAATTTTATTTTCATTTGTAACAAAATAAGAAAAATATTTTTATCTTGCAAACATAGGAAATATAATTTTTATTTTTGTTATCATTTTCTTATTGAGGTTGGATATATAATATGTTTGTATCACAAAATAGAAAGTGAATTTAAAACTATAAAATATTTTATTTAGTTAAAAATATTATACACAATAAATTTGTTTATTTATTTTTGTTCTTTAAACTTCAGCTACATTTTTTTTTAATTTAAAATTAGTCCTTTTGATTCTACATTACTTAAAAGAAAAGAAAAAAACATGTTTTTATCACTTTGTCCCAACGTCTTAAACCCAAATATTCTCAAAGTGAATATCTTTAAGGAAAAACAAAACATATGATAAGATATTTGATAATTAGAATATAAAATCAATATTTAAACTATTTATAATTATGAGTTCTATAATGAATTTTTCACAATATTTAATATTAAATTATTAAAACCATTTTTTTATTATAATAATTAAAAAATTACTTTTAAATTTTGTAGAAAATATCCAAATTTTGAGAAACTAAAAATATATATAATCTAGTAAATTTATTAATTTTATTTATAATACTTTCTTAAAAAAAATTGTACTCAATATAAAAGTTATATAAATTAACAGCGTAGAAGGTTTTAAAATATAAATAAAATAAAACTATTAAATCACAATTTATAACTATAAAAATTTATTAAGAATACTATTTTGAAAATATTTTAAATATTCAATAAAAACAGTGCACTCCTTTTAGGGTTTAGCAATCAAAACACGCTCTCGCCCTTTTCTTGCGCGCGCCTCTCTCTCTGCATCGCATGGAGGAACCTCCAACTTCAGTTCCGGCGACAGCGTCGTGCTGGAGCAACGTGGTGAAGAAGCAACCTCCTCCACCACCGCAGCACAACGAACCTGTATTGGTGGAAACCACCGAATCCTCCAATGTCATCTCCGTCGCCGTCGTGGACGCCAACGCCGTCATTGAATCCGGCGAAAAACTCCACGGCCTCGCCGACAAGTTCATCTCCATCCCTGAAGTCATGAACGAAATCCGTGACCCCGTTTCCCGCCACAAACTCTCTTTCCTGCCCTTCTCCATTCAAACCATGGAACCCTCCCCCGAATCCATCAATAAAGGTATCCTCATTTTTCTCTTATCCTAAGCTTCCAACCTTACTTGTTAATTGCTTTACTATTTCGTGGCTATTGTCTGTAGCTTCAAATTATAATTTGAAATTCTGAATTAAATATTCTTTTTTGTAGTTGTCAAATTCGCTAGGGCTACTGGTGACCTACAAACTCTCTCTGATGTTGACATCAAGCTCATAGCTCTGACTTACACGTTGGAGGCTCAGATTCATGGGATCAAACATCTCAGGGATGCCCCTCCTCCTGTGCAAATGGTGAATGTGAAGAGGTTGCCTGAGAAGGACATGCCGGGGTGGGGTTCTAATGTGCCTAATTTGCAAGAGTGGGAGGCGTTGGAACAGGCAGAAGATGCTACGAATTTCAAGTCGAGAATCCTTCCCTTGCAGGATCTGAACTTAAACATTGTTTCTCCAGATGGTCACTCTGTGGATGGTTCAGTGGAGAGGACTAGTGAAGCTGACTCGGGGATTCAGGATGGCGATCAGGATGGTTTTATGAAGCCTAGGAAATATTTGCCTAAGAAAAAGGAGATAAACATTGAGGGAAAGACAATGGTGGCTGATGGAATTGATGCGTCGCAGGGAGAGTTTGATGACAATGCTGGTGATTGGATGCCAGCTGTCAGTCGGAGTACACATAGGAGATATTTGAGAAGGAAAGCTAGACGTGAGTATTATGAGTCCATATCCAGTCCTCTAGACGAGCAAGATTTGGAAGAAAATGTTGATGATAGTGTGGGTGAAGATGCTGGTGCTTTAAATCAGCAAGTTCGTGAAAGGGATGCTGAACAACATGTTGAAAATGCTGTGTCCGAGGATACTCAGGTGGTAAAAGAGAACAAAGACAATGAAAGTATATATGAGATTCTGCAACAAATGACGCTGGAAACAGTACCTGATGGCAATGCAAATGTGGTCACTAAACCATGTGACAGTGAGATAAATGCAGTTGATAACCAATCAAATCAATTGGACGGTGCAAGCCAGACCAGTGAAGCTGCTGACTTTTCGTATGCAGATGATGATGGTAGTGAGCAAAGTTGGATGGTTAGATCTTTGTCTGAATCAAGTGTAGCATGTGTAACCGGTGACTTTGCCATGCAAAATGTTCTTCTCCAAATGGGTTTGCGCCTACTGGCACCTGGAGGAACACAGATACACCAGCTGCACAGGTAATTTTCAGTAGCTTGTTCGTATTATTGACTATGTTATACGGATTACCTATCTTTGCTATTTGAAAGAAAATTTCGAATGCATGAACGACGTAAACCTAGATATTTTGTTCAACATTTCGTTTACATTATATTTTGTAATGACATGTGCTTATTGTTTCTAATCTCTATATTTCCATTCTACACAGAATGCAACATGATATCAAAATTGTAGTATATTTCCAAATATTTTAATCATTTCCATTTCAGATGGATACTAAAGTGTCATGCCTGTTACACTGTGACTGCTGAGATTGGGAGGATTTTCTGTCCAAAGTGTGGAAATGGTGGCACCCTAAGGAAGGTAGCTGTCACAGTTAATGAAAATGGAATAGTGGTTGCAGCCCGCCGACCACGAGTTACATTACGTGGCACAAAGGTGAGTGGTATATACATTTTTGAGATTAAGAAAGATAGCAAGACATAGTAGATATTGGTCAATTTTCCTATGTCTTTCAATTTGCTAGTCGGTTTTAATAGAAAAGGTGTGCTGTGGCAGACATTTTGATGCACTAGTTTACTATTTTAGAGTTATTTGTTTTTTCAAGTGTTGAAACCTTACCCAGTTAACTTGATTCATCGATAAGTATACTAGCAGTTTCATTCACAAGATATGATATTTTTAGAATCCTTGATACACGCATTTATTTTTTTTATGACTTCTAAATGAATCGATGTGCAGTTTTCATTGCCTTTACCTCAAGGTGGAAGGGATGCAGTTACGAAGAACCTCATTCTCCGTGAAGACCAACTTCCTCACAGGGTACTTTATCCTAAAACGAAGAAGAAAGCCAGCAAACAGGTTGTGTGTGTATGTCTGTGTATTTAACAACTGATATATCTAATTGATTCATATCCCATGGGAATATGGTGTTCTTTCATTAATTTCATACTAACACGAGCTTACTTAATTATACTTTGTAGGATGATGACTTCTTTACACCAGACAGTGTCTTCAGCCACCACACAGATAAGAAATCTTCTTTCCAGCCTCCTATAAGGAAAGCAATGGCAGTTTTCGGTGGGAGGAGAAATCCAAATGACAATCACTACACACGCACGAAACATAAGTAGCGGATCTCCCAAATTTTGACTGGATTTATTCCCCCTAAATTTTGTTTTTATTGCTTGAAATTGAAATTTAGTTGGAAAACATTATTATAATTGTGTCTCATAGTCTCTACATATCTGGCTGTCTACGAATTAGTGTAGGTGATACTCTATGAAAGAGTGGAAGAATTAATTTCATGAGAATGGATTTCAGTTTAAACCGATTGTGGCAGCATTAATTTTCGTTTTTATATCTAATTAAGCTCGTCTTATCATTAAGACCTATTATTATTTTGTTGCATGTATTATAGATATCTAAGTGAAATTTGTTTAGCACAATAAACATATGCACTCAATTTATGTTTTGAGGAGTTACTTGTATTTAATTATTTATTTATAATTCTTAAAATAATTATTTATTTATGTTAGAATGAATTTAATAAACAAAAATAATGATTTTAGATCTTGAAAAAATTAAAATTTATCAAACCACGTTCAAGACCTTAAAATAACAAATGTACCCGACTTGTAAGATTATATATATTATATTTTAGAAAGCTGAAAAATAAAAATGAAAAATTATTAAAAATCAAGATATTGCTTCTGTTTTTGAAATGAATATAACACCAAAAAACAATAATTATTTGAAATGAAGCCGTACATGAAGCAGAGACGTTGTCCAACTTCTGGTGTACATTCATAGTTGAAATGTCTCAACCAATCAGTCAGAGTCAACAATCGCAAATTAATATTACGATGTCACTTATTTCCCTTAATTGATACTCTGTCCACTGGTCCTTTGCATAGAAACAGACGTACGATGGATCTAGACATTTAAATTTAATGTTCCACAGAACGATGTGTCTGTCTCTAACACACCATCCTTCACTCAACCGCAAGATCTTCATCCGGAAATTTCATGCAATTCAGTCCTCAAGCATCTCCAACAACCCAACTTTATATTCTAGTTATTAGTTAGGTTGATTCTAAGAATTGATATTACGTTATAAAAACATATTTATCTAAAATAAAATTAGAATCATGTTGGATATAAAATTAATAGAAAGGTCACTAATGTTAATAATATTATTTTGCATTAACAGAATAAAACAAATGCTCCACTGCCAGCGGAAATAATTTCACTGTCTACGGGGGTGGGATGAACAAACCATACTTGGTTGAGTGCGCAAAGATTCCAACAGCCGCAAAGGGACGTTTGAAACATCCAAAAATATGAATGACATTTTGGTTAGGAAACATGTTTGATCGTGGCTCACATTAATCATGCATTGCCCACTGCCCATAGAACTGTCCTTTTCTTGTGTTGATAGAATGGTAGACACTTCAAGCTGGACTTTGTGCTTAGTTATGGACCCAAGAAGGAAGAATCAGAGAAGCCTCAACATGAAAAAAGACAAGGAAAAGTAACGACAGTTTTCCCATTCATGTATCAATTTCTACTTGTCAACCACCGCTATACAAGGATACCATATGATGCATTACCCCTTGCACATTCCCTTTTTTTTCTTCTTTTTTTTCTGAACAATCATTTACAGGTGAGAAATAAAATTAGAAAAGCATTATGGTTATAGGTCTGCTTCAGTAGCAGTGTGTGTTGTGTGGTTAGTGAGTATTATTGACTCAATTATGAAGAAAGGGCAAGCTCAGCCCAAGCCAGAGATGATGCCTTCAGCTCCACATTTATGGATGTGTCTATTCTGCTCTCCAACATGATGCACAATTCACGCATTGATGGACGGACAGAGGGATCAGGACTGATGCAAAGAGTTATCACCTCACATATTGCTTTGAGGTCTTCATATCTAAAATGCTTCAACTCAGGAGCCACCACATATGACATTACTTCTGGCATTTCAAGGTAGTCCCTGGCCTGCATGACATGTTTAACATTGAAGACTTGATGCTTTAAGTGATGTCTTCGAAAAATTAATCAAAGTTTTGGGATGTTTCTTACCCAATCCACCAAGTACCCTTTGTCCTTACAGTATGGAGGTCTTCCACTGGTTATCTCCAGTAGAAGTACACCAAAAGCATATATGTTCCCTTTGAGGTCGAGATGGCGCGCTTCAAGGGAGTTTGGTAGAACACAAACAGCACCTTGGCTGCTAACTGAACCAGAATTTTTCTCTGATCTTTCAAGAATGGTCTTCCAACTTTCAAAATCCACCAGCTGAAATTTAAGGTTCATTGCAATGAGAAAAACAAATAACATACAGGGTACAGCACAATCATAATAGATAGTTACAAAACTTAAACTACATGAATGCACACCTTAGGGGAAAAGTCTTCTGTAAGGTAAACAGCATTGGAATTCAATTCTGAGATAGTGAATGGAGGCTCAATTTCAGTGTGCAAATACTTGAGCCCACGTGCAATGCCAATGATAATTTTCATACGCCTTGTCCAGGACAACTGGCACCCTTCTCCATCTGCATTCATGGTTGGTTTCATTAATGTTTTAAGGAACTGAAATAATAAAAATAAATCTAGACAAGCTAGAACCGTGACTTACAACAATGTAGGTGGTCATAAAGTGTCCCGTTTGATGCATATTCAAAAACCAGCATCCTTGTAAATGGACTGCTCTCTCTACAATATCCTAGCAGCTTTCCTGCGTTATCATGATCTAACCTTGCCAAGTCTGCCACCTGAATTGCATCAATAGCAAAAAATAAAATAAAATTAATGACTGGTTTAGTCACACTGTAGGCACTGAAGTGTTCCATTCCATTTACCTCTCTTTGAAAATAGAGCTCAAGGTATCCTGTCCAATTCTCTTCCTTGATGCAGAGGGAAATTACAGCAATCTCAGGTCCACCTTTCATTGTACCCTTGTACACCACACTATCTGGTGAGGACCCAATTATGTTGCTGAAGTCTTCACAGGCCACTTCAAGGTCCTGTCTGCTATACTTCATCACATCCTTCAACATCTCTGAGTCTGCTCATTGATAGAATTAAATGTTCAAAACATCTACAAAAAAGTATCAGTAGTAAACACATAATAGACAGAAGCAAAGAAACCAAACCTATATGTATTGCCATATAATCTTTTCCACTTCCAGATTTTTTCCATGGAATAATGATAGATGATTTGTTGTTACACTTCTGAATTGCAGTGAAAATAGCAATAACAAAGAGAGAAGCAACCATGGTTCCCGTCACTATTTCTAGAGCCAAAAGCCAAGAAGGTTTAGATGCTTCTTGATGCTTGGTCACATGTCTGGTAGCAGGTTGGGACTTTGGGTTCTCTACTGGACCGCTTTGAGCAGGTGAAGCACCAGCTATTCAATAATAGTTTCATTATTGGATGTAAAACAAACAAGGAACAGTTATAGGCAAAGAGTAGAATGGATCAAATGCATATTCGATTCACAAAAGTTTGTATTATCCATTATTCCATTCTCAAAACATAGATGAAGTGATGCACCTGCTATTCTATAGTAATTTCATCATTAATTCATGCCTTGAAGTTTAAATGCAAAAAATATCATGTCATACATACCACATTGCATCGAAGTCCTCTGTTTTATGTCTTTGATATGAAGGCAATTTCCTTGAAAGCTTGATCTGCATGATCGAGTTTATGTTTCTAAGAAAGGAGGTTTGACTAGGATGCCAAATAACAAGAAGATCAATAGAGTACCTCGGGAGATACTCCAAGCATTTGGGTATGCTACCAACAAAAAAGTTATATGAAAAATCTGCAACTTTTAACTGAGGTGAACGACAGAAACCAGTTAAATTCACACCTGAGGCATACCTGAATAGGAATAACACGAGTCAGATTAAGGAGATCCAAATTTCAATGGTGTGTAACTTGGTGTTTTTATATTTAAATGGGTGAGTTTGGCAATGCTTTCTAGATACAGCAAATTTAAGCAAATTCATAATGTCAAAGGTGATTTAAGTCTTCTTAACTATATCTTTATACCCAACGACCTGCTTCCTGAGCACATTGAAAATTTGACATTTGTAGGAATGATAAATTATCATGTTGTACGTCGCACTTGTAAACATGAAAGATAATGGTGGCAATGCAACCGGTAAATGACATTTTAAAATCCTACCAAAGGTATGCTGACCAAAATGAAGCCCATTTATAATCTACCACAGACATAAAAGAGTCTTAGTGGCCAAGACTTGTACTCATGTAGATAGAAGGTTTATCAATCAACCAGATGAGAGATGACCAGATGAATGATGATAACGTATCCCTTAACAAACTAGACTGATTTTTTCATAGATATTTACTCACATCCCATGCATATTTGAAGAAAAATTTGAACTTCCACCACCAGGAAGAGATCCTTGAAGCCTATTCCTATCCAACCGAAGCTCTTGAAGGTATTTGAAATTTCCTAGTTCCGTAGGTAGCCTACCAGTCAACCCATTGGACTGCAGGTTTCTGCAAGAATGCATGGAATTGAAAACAAAGTCCAGAAAATAATTTAAGAGTCTAATTTTTTAATAGCATACTAAATTCCTTTTACATTTTCATAAGTTGGGTTAAATTTCCAATCTCCAGAGGAATTGGTCCAGATAACTGATTCATTCCCAAATCCAACACCTTAAGAGATTTCATCATGCCCAATTCTTTAGGTATTATTCCAATGAGATTGTTGCCATGTAAGATCCTGCAACAATAAGAACCAAAAATTAGTCACAACCATGATATTGAAGTACTATAAGTCATGGTAATAACACCGAATCACGGATTAAGGTTGGTTTTGAGAATGATGTAAGGATTGCCGAAACAAGGAACATACAGTTCTTGTAAGTAGGTGATTTTCCCAAATTCTGGAGCAATAAACCCCCTCAATGAAGCCCCTGATATGTTACTGCAAAAAAGGTATGTGTTAGCTCAGTAATGTATGCCATTAATTGACCATCTCACTTATGCTTCATGAAGCATGACACATTGCAAGAGAGGGCTAAAAAGTTTACACGCCAAAAAAATGTACTAAATCTTATAATGGATCTTACAGCTTGATCACATGATCACGCGGTGCAGTGCAAGAAACACCATTCCAGTCACAAGGATCTGAATCCAGAGTATTCCAATTGGACAAAACCATGTGTGGATCTTCATAAACAGCTTCTTTGAACGTTCGAAGTGCCCAAACTGAGATAAAAAAATACAAACTCTTCAACTAAAACATCATACTAATAAAATACAGAGCAAATGCTCCATTATTGTGAATGTATACCGTAGTAAGCAAGGACGAGAATGCAAACCAATTAATCGATCTTAAAATTTCCAAGTTCACACAAGAACCAGAAATGGTAAATTTTGCTACGTGATCCAAACAGAAGTCAACACAAGTAAGAACTCGAGATCTGACAGAGAAAGTGAACACTCAGCCATAACTCTTACCTTCATTTGAAGGCACCGAGACAGAAGCCACAAAAGAGAGCACGGAAACCAAACCAAGCAACAGCAATAAAGTACATAACTTCATTTTCTTCTCCCAAAATTTCTACACTATGTTGCTTCTTCTTCCTTGTTTGTTAGTCAGCCCCAAGCTGCTCTTCCCAACAAAAGTAGAACTCAGAAAAAAAAAATGATGGTATGAAACTGAATTTCCCAGAACTTGCAGGTTTTTATACCATAAAAAAAAAGATACAAACTTGACCAAGTTGGGAGGTTCAGAAAATGCACACTACTGAAAGATTTTTATAAATGGTAGATTTGAGAGGTGGCAGCAGAATGAGAAAGAGGGTGATGACACTGACACTGGACTTAGACTAAAGTCTGAAGACAACCCAGAAGGGGATGAAACTTGGATTCAAAGAGAGTTTATCCAAGTTTGGATTTTGATGGCACTGACTGAGGCAGAGAAGGGAGTTTTTATTTTGAATTATGTTAAAAATGGCGGTTTGTGGATATTTTTAATGTAAAAATGATTTTGTTTTTGTGAGTTGTGTTCTTGGGACTTGGACTGTACATCTCTCTTTCACACCCAAAGCAATTGGCAGTGATTAGTGTGTGTCACAGGGACTAATAGTAATCGGTGATGGAGATGGTGCTAAATCTCATATCTTTCCTTTTCTTTTCATGAGTGGTGCTGATTGCTACGCATCTCTTCAATGTCGTCACACGAGAAGTTGCTATTCTCGTCCCTTGTCAAAGCCTCAAATAGTTTAGATTTATAATAATTCAATACTCTCTTTCTAAACTCTCTTCCCTCTTCTCTCTCCTTCTTCAACTCTTCTTTCTCATCCTTTTCTCTTCTCGTCTTCTTTAATTCAACCATTTTTATGACTTTAATTTATCCCTTTATTTTGTATGTTCCGATTGTCGTTCAACCCACGATTGTATCAATTCTATTTGTTTTTTCTGTTTTTTTTTTTAAGTCAAATACTAACTGTTTCTCAATAATTTCACCGATTGTGGTTTTAATTTATCAGAATAATATCGCGCTTTATCGTAATAAATAAATAATTACACGAATTGACTTTTGGCACCACATAAATTTACTCTCCAACCCCATTTTTAATCTCACATTCTCTAATTAATGAAAAAACACTCAGTATTATTGAGTAGAATAAATGTTTGATTTTTCTGAAAAAACAATAAAGATGTCTTTTAATAATTACTCTCTTGTTTGGCATACATTTAAAAAAAATCTATAAACATTTTTAAGATAGAAAATAAAAACCTTTTATGAAAAAATTTGTGTAAATGTATCTTTAAAATGATCAATTTTAAATCACTCATGGATTTTTTCCACACATTCTATCACCAAGACAATATTTTTGATTAAGAATAATATTCCTAACTAAATCAATGATTTAAATTGTATGGTTGATGTTTAGTTAAGTGATAATACGGTAAGCAAAAGTGCTTTTTTGAAAAAGGAAAGAAATGCTTCTGAAATTCCACGTTCACAGTTGTTCTCCATCCAAATGCATGATTAAAGCCAATGTCACGCGTCAATTATATTTTTAGTCTTTGATTATAACAACTTCCTCTCCTACCCTAAATTTTTTCTTTCTTTCTAATTTCTGCTTTTGATTAATTAATCAACTCTTAATGCATGATATTGTCTTGTTCATATTTTCTCCCATGATCTTCTTATGTGAGATTATTTTATCATTATCAAATCAAATGTTGATGTTTTTCTTCAATGAAAAATGCATTCCCATATTAACCATGTTACTAAATTGTTCATCTTAACCTAAAAAAGTGTTATTTCCTTTTAAAACAATATATATTTCTATTTTCAAAGCTTAGGTATAATAAAAACAGAAAAGCAAGGTTGATAATTAAAAGCCAAGCTTACTAAATATGAAGAGCATTTGATTTGAATTTGACTTTTTGTATTAATGGTGTATGCAAAATCTGCTTTTATATATACATATAATGATAAGGGGGTAAGAAAAGACAAATGGAGATGTTGTTTAAGTGGAAGGGCCCTCATAAACAGTGCTTCCAAGCAAGACCCTCTTAAAGGTTGGAGTATATTTAAAGAAAGAAGAAACCTAATCATCTTCAACCAGATTGCACAGACACCATCAAAACCCAGAAGACCAAATAAAATAAAAATAACTCATTTATGAAGCACAGCAAATTGTTAAAAATGGAAGAAAACTTCAATCAAATGGGATATGAAGAGGAGTTTTATATAATGTTTGAAGGTTTTTGGAAGTTCCATCCACATCCATGTTGGAGGAGCCAAGCCTGGGACTTTTTCCTTTCTTCTGCCATGGAGAATCCTTCCATGTGCCTGCTTTTCATTTGGGCCCTCACATGCTTTTTTCCTTTCTTTATTCAAATATTCTCTTCTCCACAACACACACAAATTCCTCAAATGCTTTCCCTCTTCTTTCCTACCTTACCTCACTTCCATCAATGCCTTCTCCTTCTTTATCATTTTCTTTCCTTGCTTTTTTGCCTTCTAAAAGGTAATAGTAATAAATAATGATGTCATTTATTTATTTATTTATTCTTTAATCAACACAATTTGAAAATATAATCAATTTTGATACTTGGTAATTTTGAAAAGAGATTAACTACTTACACACATCATCCTATTTATAAAAGTTATTCTTTTAACTATAGATAAAGAGATTATTTGAACAACTAAAAAAGTTAATCCATGATAGTTATCATTAAGTAAAGTAATTAATTAATTAAAGAGCATACATGGATGAAGTGAATTAATATACAATTCTTGCATTAATACACACAAAGATACAAAATTTTGTTCCTACACGACATTATCATGCTTCCCAAATACTAATTGAAAAGACATTATATATCTTGGGGATGGTGCTTATTAGTTCTTGTTCTTATTCTAATTGCAAGATTATTTTGGCATTTTTTTTTCCTTTGCTCAACAAAGCTTTTATCCTTACAAGTTAGTTTATATGTCGAATTCGTGATCAAAATTGATTCAAAAGCAAGTAATTGGAACTTTCGAAGTTTGGTTAGAGTTAGACAAATGGATACATAAGATTGGCTAATTTTGGAAAGGAAAAGCACTGTCAAATTAGTGACCTTAAAAGTGGGCTGGGGCAATTATTTGTAGGTTATAAGGTCAAAATTGTTTTAAAATTGGAAAAATCACAGAAACAGCTACAGAGAATCTTTTGGTTCATAATGATATGTTACTTCACGCTTAAGCATGCTTTGGAACCTTTCTTTTTACCCTGCAGTGCCCGAGAATTCAGGTTTGATTATAAGCACCACACTACCTTCAATTTTAGGGTCACATTCTTTACCTCTTTTTTTTTTGGTCAAATATTTGTTTATTTTTTGGATCTAGTAAAATAAGTTTAAGTAATTATATTAAAGTATCATAGATGATCTTCACATTTTATGGACTTAAGTAATTTAATAAGTGGAACTAAAATTTTAATTAAAGAAATTAATCAAATTTAAAAAAATTAATTTTTTACTTAACAATTTGAGACTTGAAGAGTTTGGGTGGAGTTGTGAAAAAGGAAAGTTAACACGATTACATAAATATCGATGGCGAAGCTTCACCATAAGCATCTCCACGGTCATGGGCCCACTTCATGGGCCCACCAAGCAATGAAGTTTGTTGGGCTCATTAAGTGATTCGCTACAACATCAACCATCGCTATATTTTCCAATCTCGTAAATAAACCAAATAGATTCCGATTTCCATTTTTTATTTTTTATATTAAACACAGTTATTAAAAAAATTGTAAAAATTAATAAATTTATCGTATATAATGATTTTTTCTTAGATAAATTTCCAATGCAGATCTTTTTTAATTGAAGTTATTATTACTATTATTTTTTGGTTCATAACATCATTATTAGTAATCTGCTTCTGGAGGTTTTATATATCTTCTCTTAAATGGGCCAACATCGGTGTCCATCCTGTATTTGGGCCAAGGTCAATTGGGCCACGAGACACAAAAAATATTAAGAATTTCAATTTTAGGTTAAAAATATTATATTTGGATTGTTTAGTTAATTTCAGATAGAAAAAAAAGTAACAAATTAATTTGTACGTGGTGTGTTACCCAATCAAAGCATTTTATGCAAAGTTATTTTAATTATGTTCAATAAGTACATTAGACCTTAAAAATGTGTAAGTTATGGTGTGCCAATATAAAATATTTCACATGTAGTGATTAATCATGAAAACTTGTACGTAACCAAAATTAACGCACCTATTATAAGTAAAATAACATGCGTATCATCAACTACAAACAACACTTTTAGTAATAAGCACAAATTAGGTATTTCGGGGTTGTTTCATGCCTTTTATTGAATAGGTAATGTAGAATATATAAAATCAAATAAGTAATAATTTAAATAATAATAATAATAAATAAAGAAAGATTTTTTTTTGTCAAGGTGATTTTATTTTAAAAAATACAAAAAATTATGATATATAATTAATACTGAGAAACAATTTGAAAGACAATGAGTAACATTATTATAAAATATTTTATCTTAATTTTTTTATTTTAAAATATACAATTTAATTACTTGAGCATTTACAAAGTTCTAAAGTATATCTGAATATTATTACAAGGAAATAACACACAATCAAATCATACAATTAGTAACCTTTCACTTGCCCTTGAATATGTTTTAAGAGGTTTTTGGTTTTTTAAGTATGTTTGAGGCGCCAAAAATAAATAAACTAACTTTTAATTTGTTTGACTAATTAATAAGTTAACTTTAACAATAAAATTATTCAGTAAACGACTTAATAACTATCAATTTTGTATTTTATTTTTTAAAATTAACTACTTATCAATTATTTAACCGTTAATAAATGGGAACAATTTATTAGACATATACTTTCAAAATAAGAAAAAAGGATTATTTTTTCTAGGAAAAAAATGTGATTCCTAAAGACAACAAAGACCGTGTCAACAATGAGAATACTAAATGAATTAAATTTTATACATAAATATGGTAGATGAATAAACAAACTAATGGACACTGGGCCATGCAACTATATATAGAACAAAATTAATTATACTAAGGTTTTTATTTGAGAATAATTAGTATTGTACGATGTAATTAATAAATTAATTTAAGATAATAACTAATAAAATGGACATTATATATATATATATATATATATATATATATATATATATATATATATATATATAAGGAAAACAAAAGAACATCTTCGTAATTATCACATGTTACGAGAAGACAAAGAATTGAAATGTGGTGTGAATTAGTCAAATACAAAGAGCACCATAATATACTAGGAAATTTTCTAGTTCTTTGGTACCATGATCCATTCCACTTCATAAAACATTAAGTCTCGATAAAAACATGTGAATGAGGAACCAAGTATCGTTATATATATTATATAAGAACATAATTACATAAGATCTTTTGTCCACTTTCATCTTCTCTTAAAAGTTAATCCTTATCATATGATTTGGCATATCTTTACCCTTTTAGGGCTGCGTGATAAAAATAATGTCTCTTCCTAGGGGCCTTGCTCAATTAAACCATGGAACAATGAAATGGTTATCAATTAATATATCTATTTTATAATTATATTTGTTTTCTACAAATTTAAATATAAAATCTTACTTATTAATGCATATAGCTCATGTATATCTCTTAAATTTGTTTTTGTATATCGAAAGAGTTTAACTAGTTGTTTGCTTCTACCACCATGTGATTATATATATACAATACACGTCAGTTTCTTTCACCCATAACATCCTTTATTTTCCTCAAGTTTATGTTGTTCAGCTGTGTTTTGTGGAATTTCAATTGAAGACAACAATTTGCCAAAAAGACTTAAGACATCAACAAAGGTACGTGTATAGATAGATGATTGTCATGTATATGTGTAATTGCTTGTCTCAATTCATGTCAATGTCAATGCCACCTAATATAATCTGGGTTTTAAATCCTCAAGACACAAACTTTATTTGAATTAATTGATTTGTTAGCAATAGAATACATATACACACACTTTTTGATTGATTCGGTCGAATATGTCTCTCTACACACACAACTCTATTAATTACATGCTTGGGATTTGGGACATGTCACATGAGCCTGTTTTATGATTTATGTATTGAGTATGACGTCGTGCAAACAATACGCATATGAACTACTCGCATTAATAAACCACAAAAAGGACGTGTTGAAAACGAATCATGGCAATTTTTATTAACTATTTTATATTGTAACAAATTTCATACTAATCCTCATTAATTAAAATTTGTTTAATTATTCCTTTACTATTATGGAGTAGTAATTGCCAATGTTAAGACTTTAAGATTATATAATAAAATATTAACAAATTTTAGGTAATATATATATATATATATATATATATATATAATTTAAATGGGTTATGACTATTATTTATTAAGCTAAATAATAAAATGATTTGACTAAATTAAAGTTTTGATTAAAGACATATTAAAATAATTTATGATTTGATGAGTGACCAAATTAAAAATACTTAAACTTAAGTAAGTTATTTAAAAGGTGTCATGATCCTCTTCAGAAAGCACTCGCACATAGGATGGCAAAATGGGTCAGGCCTGGTGGGCGGGTTGGTGTTTTCAGCCCACTAGCCCGTTTTGATCTCGCCTCGCCAACCCACTCGGGCAACCCGCAGGACGGGACGGACTCAGCCCGTGACCCGCTTAATTAATAAAAAAATATTTTTTTATTATAATAAAATTAATTATAAAGATAATATATAAAATTAAAAATTTTAAAAAGAGAATTAAAAAATTTTCACTCTCACATAAAATATTTTCCTTACTCGAAACACAACTTTCTTTCTTGTTCTCCTTGTTCATCCTAAGCACTCGATTATTTTTATCCTTATGACTTGAATTAAAGGTGTAAGAATTACTCAATCAAGAATAATATGAAGTTTTATCAAATAAAAAAGATATAGGTATTTGAATTTTTCAATATAAAAAATATAAATTTTATAAGTTTTAATGTTATATATATATATATATATATATATATATATATTTGTTATTATTTATTATTATGTAAATTTTATTATTGTTCTAAATTATAATTTCTTAAAACAATGTATTGATTTCTATTATTAAATTGAAATAATATATATATATATATATAATTATTGACAAATAAATAATATTCTTATTATTAAATTTATTAAAAAAATTTATTTAAAAAAATAAGTTATTTTTTTCTAAATTACGGCGGACTAGCTCGTCAACCCGCCCCTTGGTGGGGCGGGACAAAGTCTACGACTGTCATGACTATAACGGGTCGGCCAGCTCCGCCCGCTTTTGGCGGGCCAAAGGCGGAGCGGACTGACCCGTTTTGCCATCTCTACACGCACAGAACGTAAGTCTCAGTCCCGTTCTTTTCTTTCTATCTCCATCAAAAGAGAAAATTCAGATAAAAATACAAGTGTTCTTCAGGAGAAAGACCATAAGATTAATAGTGTTTAAAAGAGACATTATCATTATGATTAATTCATGTACACTTTCGCATTTAGTATATAGCATGTTTATAAGTATGAAATAATATTTATGTTTAATTGATAAAATCAAAATCAAATCTTAATTATCAGTTTTCCATCATAAAATGCACAAGAAATTATGAAATTATTAAAACCTCATTTATTATTATTTAATTAAGATAATTGTAATATTCCATGCTTGATGATGTAAGACGCCTTAGAAAAAGTCAAATCCCTTCCTCCGACACCCTTTATACCTCCATGAAGTTACGTTGACGAAGCCAATTCAAGGTATAGTGGTTATGATGCAAGCAATGGCTTTTGGTTCAGTGCTAATTATTATCATAATAATAACAATAATAATGCATATTATATGTACCTAATGACACCCATTTATGTCCAAAGTAAAGAGAGTTAGAGTGGATAATGATTAACTATACTGTAGCCGATAAGTATACATTAGAAAAGAATATATTCCCTGTGTTCATAACATGAACTGCCATAGCCGACCAATTTTTTAACAGATAACTACACAAGCAATGTCTGCACTACAATGACATCAACGACCACCCTTTATTATTGGAAAGGAACTACGTTAATTTCAAAAGATGTTTTTAGTTTTTAATCCTATCTATAACTTTTGTCCTTCAAAGTTTTCAGCTAATGCCACGAAATGGAAAGCCTTTCTGATATAAGTGCATGCTTAGTTAATTGTATATAATAGTTTTCAAATCAAAGTCAGAATACATAAACTAACTCATCTGCATATCCATGCTGTGTTGGCTGCTCCTGCACTATTATAAAATTCAGTGATGTTTTCCACGCCCAATCCAATGCCTTAAACGTGCTTTAATGGAATATGACCACTCTCCATTTCTTTCTGTTCCTTTCTATAACCGTTTCTTCCTTTAGCTAACTCCACTTTACCCAATTTAGCAACCAATTACTCTGATTCAACTCATGAAAATGGGACATTGTTTACAACATTATATTAAGTTCGTAAACGATAGTGAGGGTTACCTTTTACATGTCAACTTCTTTCATCAAGGATTAGAGAATATTCTTTTCAAATACTAACTTCTTGATCTAGTTATCTATTTCCTGCGATTAATGAATATATTCTTACCATAGTGCTTAGATAAACAAAATTATCAAATACTTGATACAAATATATCTTAACGAGTTAATGCTTTTTTTTTTTAATAATAAAACCCATCACCGTGTTTCTGACACATTCACTTTTTGTAAAAATCATGAGTAGTTTGGAAGGACCCATGACTTTCACTAGGAATGTCATGAGTGGAATGGAAAAGCTTTTCAACTTTGTGAAGTACAATCATGACAAATAAGCTTCGTGCTTTCAGATGTGTTTTATGATAACTGTTCAGTTTTCCATTAGATTAAATTTAATCCTAGAAAGGTAGATAAGTGCTTGATCCACATATAGCATGATTATAACAGCCAAAACAAAGACATAAATGATATAAAATGCATGTAGTACCTGAGATAAAATTGGCAGGGTTAATTAATCCGGGGGTTTAATCCACATCATTATTTTATTGCGGTTATATATTAGTTAATTATAAGTCCTTTTTCTACCAGTGCTGTTATGTTAAATAGAATTATCTCTAAAAGGTGCTTCAAAGAAACTGCCAACTATGTAGGGTCAGTTAGGCATATAAATAAGCTGCTCGAGACCATCCCCTTATTCCACATATTCACACAACACAAGTCTTTCTCTCAATCAAACACTGCAATGGCCAAGGTTTACCCTCAGTTACCCGCATCTCCTCAGACTCAGTGTCTCACATCCAAAAGAGAAACATACACTCTATGGTTGAAATCACTTGTCTTCCACTCCAATGGATGCACTGTCTATGACTCAAATGGTGGCATCGTTTATAGAGTTGACAACTATGACAGAAAGGGTAGAAGAGAAGTTAACCTCATGGATCTACGAGGCAAAGTTCTCTGCACCATAAAGAAGGTACAGATCAGTCTAATGCTGCACCCCATATGCTAATAATGGCTTAAACCAAGCCATTGTTGGTATTTTTGGCCTCGTATATTATTGTATGAGATTTTAAATTAACCTATTCCTTTTAACTATATTTTACAGAGATTACTAGCTCTTGGATGCTGGGAAGGCCACAGATGCGTCAGTTCCGATTATGGTACCCGGGAACAACCATGGTTTCAAGTAAAAAGATGCAATCAAATGATCAAAGGTAAAGTAGCTTGCCAAATTTCTGTGGGGTGCCAAAAGTACAGCATAGTAAGAATCAGTGGCAAAGCAGAAGCATTTAGGATCGTGAACATTGATGGAGAAATAGTTGCCGAGGTAATTATCTATCTATCTATCTGATTTCCTAATCATATAATCTTACACATGACTGATGAATCAAATACTTAAACTTGGAATTGGTCTTGATGTTACTTCTGAAAATTGTGCAGGCAAAGCAAAAACACTCACCCTCAGGTGTTGTACTGAGTAACGATGTTCTAACGTTGGATTTGGCTGCTGGCACGGATCATTCTCTCATAATGGCTTTGATCACAGTATATGGATTGATATGCGGTATAATGTGAAAAAGGAAAATTGCCAGTTCGCAAATTTCATTTGAGATAAACACAATTCACGGGAGACTGATGCAGCCTACATGATTGCTTTGTCTTTGTGACTGATCTAATGTTATTCCCTTGTTCACTTTGTAAATTTTCTGAGAGACAAGTTTTGAAATCAGAATTTTTCTTAGTTTGTATAGATGGTATATCTATGTATACATATATTGTTTACAGAGGAAACATGATACAATTTATTGTTCATTCGATCTTTGGAATTTTACCAAATATGTTATGTTCTTAACAAAAAAGAAGAAAAGTTATTGGTATAATATTGATTTATATAAAATGAACATATATAAAGATTCCAGCTAACAATAATAAAGTCGATAAGGTAGAGAAACTCACACATCTGCACAAATGTGTCAACCACTAATTTTGTAGCTAATGAATGAACCCCACACGAATGTAGATGAGGCTCACCAGCCAGCAAGGTCCCCCCATATACAATAAGTCTGATGAAGCATCAAGGACATGACAAGACACAGTGGGGTGCGTTTTGTCCTTGCTGCCCCCATTGAAGATAGGGGTGGATTCGGGGAGGTGAGGGCAAAAAATGACACTTTTAATCCTTTTCCCCATCAAGTTATAAAGAAATTTTAACAAGAATATTGTTTTCATCATTTTATATTTATGGATGTATATAAGGTTGGGTAAGAGTTAAATTTTACATTAAAAAAAATATAATCTATAACTTAATACCTTAATATTTTATTAAGATTTTAATATTGAATGTGATATAACAGTTTGTAATAAAAATTTTAACAATATTTTTCATGAAATTTGTCATAAAAAATAGCATGATACGAGTCTCTGTACACATTTTTACGTAAATTTCGTAAAGTCTCATAATAGGAAAAATCTCACTATCGAAAGGTCTATATGTGAGTGTAATCAAAATTTATATAATTTTAGAATTAAATAGGGATTTTACTATCTATACGATGATACGTACATCAATTATTCAACCAATGTAAAAAACTCATAATAATCTACATTAAATATGCGATTCTCATTATTATATTTTTTATACAACCATATTTTTTATTATACATTAATTATAATTAAATTTCATAATAAATAATTTCTTTAATATGTACGCATATTTTAGAATTAGGAAAAACCGGTTCATATTGTAGTATAAGGTTATTTCTAATAATTGATGTTTCCTTTAAAATTATTGAAATTGTGAAAATGGTGGGTTTGAAAGATATAAGTGGGTAAGAAAAGGGGAATATAGATGAATGAAGGTCAAGAATAATTTGCTTAGCTGTGTGATAATGTTTGAACTAAACATAACAAAAAAGAGAAAAGAAAAAAAAATTATATTAGAGATTAGGTTTTACTAAGACTACTACTCTTAAAATTTAGTTTATCTAAATAATCAAAATATTTTATATAATGTATTAAATTATATAAAATTAAGAAATATATTTAAAAGCAATAAAAAAATAAAAATATGAAGTAAATTATACTAATATATATATCTTGAATCAGATTGTACTATTTATCTCTGTACTAAGTTTGAACAGCATATAAGGATTTGACGTTGTGAGTGTCGTGATTCGTTGGCAGCATAAAAGCAAGAAAGTTGAATTTATCATCCTCCTGAACCCTAACCACTGGGCAGGTGAATAATCGTTTTCAGTCCACAACAGCTGCATTTTCCTTCTTCATTTCTTTATTTTCTGGAAATCAAGCTTTAAACATGCATGCAGAAGGCAAAGAGACAGACGCACACGGTCCCAGCTGCTTCAAAATATCATTCCCCATTCCACACTCATCGTTACAATATCTGCTTTCCACATTCAGCAATGTTGTTGATAACCTGTTAAATTATGTTATCATACACTACACGTGAGAGTTTTATGCTAATAATCGTTATTTTGTCATTTGTTTTCCGCGGAACATGGGAACTGCAATGATGCAGCATGTGTGACACATAATGCCTCAAAGAACTGCATCAACACACAAGTTCTAACACTTTCCACTTTCCATTTGACGTATTGTTAATGCATATATAAGCATCAACATGTGTTTGTCCAGATAATGTTTCTTCTATTTCAGGTGGGAGCACATGTGCATCACTGACCATCATTCAACGTATTAATCAGGTCATTTTTTATTCTAAGACTCGACACAAAGTTACTCATAATTTTGTTGGAATTGAATATTTATCATCAACTCATCAACTCATAATAAACATAAGAGTAACTCTGAGTTGAATAATATATATATAAAAAAAAAGAGTAATATATAATAAAGGAAAACCCATAATCCAATTTTTTAATTTTTTTGGTTGAAAGTTAAATAACATATAAAAAAAATAACACCCAAATTTTAAATGGGAAGTAATGTCAATATTTGATGTTCTCGTATATCTAAGATGTTAATTTTTATCACTAATATGGAAAGTTTCAATTTTTTTTCCTTATCATGTAAAATGAAAAAACAACAAGAAGCCAAACATCCAATGACAATTGGATTAGATTATTGGAATCTGGGAAACATATAACGCATGATGCTTGTTTCGGGTTTTTTATTTTTGTATATATAAATAAAATAATTGAAAAAAATAAGAATGAAATATTTGTAGTTAGGAGAGTCACAATACACGCTGTATCATCTATATTTTTTTAATGATTTGGTAAAATAGAATCTCTATTGATTCAACAGTGTACTGTATCCAAATAATTAATCAAATAACAATTAATACTAATTAAAACATGTTTAATGAGGGAATAAATAAATTTTTGAAAAGTATGCAAATTTTTGTAGGGAAATGATTAAGAGAAAATATTGATAGTTAGAGTGAATATAATAGCACAAGTTTTGGTAAGAAGGGATGGTATGTGTATTTTTTTTGTTGTTTTTCTTTTCTATGCGTCATGTTTATCAAGTTCTTCAATCACTCTTACGTCTAAACAATCATTTAAGAAAAAAAAATCCAATAGTTATCTATCCATATTTATTTTAAAAAATAATTGCTGATATTTTTATATTTATAGGTATCCATAAATATTTGTAGATATTTATTAAATAATATTATTTAAATTTTATTCTTTAAAATATATATTTTGATAAATTTTTATTTAAAAATATAATTTAAATGAAATTCTATTACAGAATATTATTATAAATAAAATTATTTTTATAAATATTAATTTAAATAATTTATAAAATAAAGTATAAATTTAAATAATATTATTGTAAAAAATAACTTTATTTTCATAAATTATAAAAATATAAATTTAATATCTAAATAATTCTTGAACAGTGAATAATTTTTTTAATATTAAATAAAACTTATTAACAAATAGTATATAAATATAAATATATATATATATATATATATATATATATATATATATATGGATATCACTTACATCCGTTTTATTAATAAATAAATGATTAAAATATTTATACTCATTATTTAACAAAAATTTATTTAAAATATTTGAATTTTATCTATAAATATATGCTTACGTCAAAAAAGTTTAGTTATTAAAAAAATTCACTAATTCAACAGCGTGAGAAAGAAGGCGACAACAATGAGAAAGAACAAAATATTATAAAATAATAATAATAATTTTACAAAAAACTCACTTTTATAATATAAAAATAATAAAATTGAAGCAAGAATCACTACTCAAAATAAATTTGTTCTTTTATTTTGAATTTTACAATCGTGGTTCATGACATGCACATGGAAAAGTGGATTCACACTTAAGAATAACGTGAGGCAAGAAATTTATGAAGTCAAATTTGTAAAGCTACAGTACAACTTGACTGTACACTGCATGTAGCCATAAAACCACGTTTTTATTTAAAATGAATAGCAACGTGTTACTAGTTTTTAAGAATGACATCATTCGTCTATGTATTTATATATTAAAAAAATAAAAATAAAAATCATCTTTTGACGTTGTATTGAGCAGGTGATCATTATGAATATGATGAATTAAAAATAGTCTGGATTTCAATCTTTGATCAAAGATTTACCCAACAATCACAAAACCAATCCTACACAGAAAATTGCTATATATTAAAACTAAAAATGTTTATCTCTAAACGATAAAAATAATCATTAATTTAATTGGATATAAATTTACAGTTTATTTTCAATAAATAGTTAAAACATTGATAAATAATGTTGGAATAGTTAAAACATAGATTATAATTTTTTAATAAAATAGTTCCTAACTTAATCATATAATTTCTTTTCTCTAAAAAAATATTTAAATGGGTTGAGAGAAATTACAATTAAAAATTAATAAATTAAGCAATAACTTAAAAAAACACACACACACACACATATTTGCTAGAAAAAAGTTTGTAAAGGTGTTAATTTAATTTGGATTTTAACCGTTCACCGGTTTGCATAATTTATTAAATTCTACATACTTAAGCAAATAATTTTTAAAAGTAATTATTTTTTACAAAAATCATTAATCTTAATTATGAACTCTAATTTCTCGGAGTGATATTCAATAGGACTGAGTCTCCAGAATAAAAATCGCTAACAGTGATGTTCAATGAGTATACGATGTTTAGGGTAAAATTGTCTTTTTATAAATTATGGGGGTGCAACTAGAATGTTCCCTATCTATTTTTTTTTCTGCTAACTCCTTTTATATGTGGGTTGGATGTCTATCATTGAGTGAGAAGGCCCAATACTTTCTTACTTGAAAAAAAAAAAAAAGTACTCAAGTGTGTTTTGTTATGGGTTGCTTTTGTGGGTTTATTATCTGTTAAAGTTCTACTTTCCTTTTTCTTTAATTTTTTTCTTTATTATCTAAATTTAAATTATCAAAATGTAACAAAAATAAAATAAAATTTCTAAAAGTATAAAAACAACAACTATTTTCACTCTAAATTTTTAAATAATCGATGAAATAAATAAATTGAGTTTAAATTTTTATTGATTTAAAAACTTAAATTTAAATAAACAAATTAAGGTTAAGTTCATAACTTGTTTTGTTTATACTTCTGGATAATGTGTTAGGTTATGTTTGGCAAGTTCAATCTGATTATAGCGAATTAACTTATTATGTTTTTAACTTAAATAGCTTTGAGCTTATAGCTACAAACAGTTTATTATTTTTATTGACATTATAATTATAAATAACACCTGAAATCAAAGTCCACTTTTATCAGAGTTGAATGCAATAAAAGAATCTGAATATAAATGCAAAACAGAAAGTGGACACATTATATTCAGTAAAAGAAATGCTCATTTGTATTATATCACATATCAGTTAAAGGATACAATAAAAGAATATGTATATAAAATACATAAGAAGAAAAAAAGATACAATGAAAAATGATGAGCACTATTGGTAACTAAAAGGCACTTAAAACATCACAAACTACTACAAAATAACTCTATAAAATGGTACCCTTATGGCACACATTTACGATTCAGAAAGAGAAGAAAAAGACTAAGAAAAGAGGAAGAAAATGCATATTTATCTTTCCAGTGTGCACATTAACTTATTCATTTTATTCTGTTTTCCTTTTCCAGTGCCTTGGTGCCATGAATTTGAGCAAGTCATTGGGCCTTCCGAGCATTCTTGAGGTTTCTTACAGTCATCACAAGCTTTTGTCTTTCACCTTCTACCTCGGCAAATTTGAGACTCATGTCTGAGTATCTTTGTTGTAACTCTTTCAGCTCAGTTTCCATTAAGTTGTTTCTTTCTTTCAGCAGCGAATATTCAGCTAAAGTTTCACAAAGATTGCCATCTCCATTATTATCCATTGTGGATATTTCTGCTTCTTTCTCCAACACATATACATCACTGCCATGCACATAAAGTGATCAATAATGAAACAAATGAATAGCTTCAATTCCAAGTTTACATGTAAGAGTAACACATAACAGGTTTAACTTCACGTTTCAAATGTAATTTTTCACGTTTTGAATCTGATTTCAGAAACTTAATAGATATATTGTAATTTCTACATTCCAAAAGTGATTCCTCCATCTTCAGGAGTCTCCAAACACACTCAAACAAACTAAGTAATCATAGCAGGTACTAAATTATGTGTACTTGATGTTCTACAGAAAAGATAAAGCACACACACCTCTTGTACAGGGTCTCTGCAACACCATTTTCTTCAACCACACTTGTAGTATCATTTGAAGTAGTAACCTGTTTGAAGTGCAAGACAATTATATACATTGTTGATATATGATTCAATAACTTCATAGACCAACTATACGATAATTAATACTATGAAATAGTTGGAGTTATCTTATTTCCATCATTCATCAGGGCATTTGAATGGATATGCCAATTGACACTAAGACTCAAATTTTTTTATTTATGTTGGCAAATTGCTTGAGCTATGTGCTATAGTAGTAAGTATACCTTTTGCAAAGCAATGCTCTGATTGAATTCCTCCACTTTGTCCTCCAGTTCCTCAATTTTGGATTGGAGCTCCCTTTCCTTCTCCAAAAATGAAGAAGCTGACATTTCCAAAGCAGTTTCCTTGGACTTTATCATGCCCTGCCACACAAAACAACTCTTTTGTTAACATACTCCCTCAACCGCAAGAGATAAACAAACTATCCTAAGAAAATGCAGATGAACGAAAATGATGTGTGGTAGAAGAAAATATCAATAGAAGAATTAGCATCTGGGAATCAAGCATTTTTATCAAA